TTAACTGTTACATGTTTTATCTCAGTGTAAGATCTCTTGAGCTGTAGATTTTACCTGGCCATGATGTACTTTTTAGTTGGAGGTCTTATCAGTAGGAGGTCAGGGTTATAATTTTAGCATACTTGATATTCAGTGTATTATATATCAACTTCATGTATAATTTCACGTATAACCTAATCTGTCCAGCTTCACCAACAATCTGCAGACTCCGTACGGTGGATTCTATGTGTTAGTATAGAAGCGTGGCTCCCGGTCACCAGCAGAAACAGATGGGTATGTCTAGGGAACACATGGACCACTTTATAAAGATGAAACCCAGTTCCAACCCTGAAGTGCAAAAACCAGAAAACGATCCCAAAGCATATCAGGCAGTGTGAGGAGCATGGCCAGGCTTGGTAAGCTACTCTGATCATCTTAGGTCCTCGTTCATGTCCAGAATGGATCAGGCCATGTGAGCCTCGATGATCCAGCCCTACTGAACGTTCTGACACTTTGGACTGGGCAAGTAGGGCTTAGGCAGAAAGCACCTAAGACCTCGGGGAGACCCAGTGCCTCCTGTCTGCCTGGTCTCACTTGCTGTCATAAGTGCTGATTTGACTTTACAATCTCAGATCACTGGTTCCTTGTTGGTGCCTTCTGTCCATAATGAAAAATGCCTCATTCGGGACAAAGTAGCTAGTTTTAGCAAAGGAGGGGCTACCTTGAGACAGATTTTATTGTCACACCCTTTAAGTTTTTAAAAACTATTTAAACCAGGCATGGTACCCTTAATCCTAGCTCTAGGGAGGTGAAGGCAGCTGAATTTCTGTGATTTTGAGGCTACCCATTGGAGGGATAGACAGTAAGATCCTGTCTCAAAAAAAAAAACAAAAACAAAAACAAAACTAAGCCAGGCAGTGGTGACGCACACCTTTCACCTTTCATCCCAGCACTCGGGAGGCAGAGGCAGGCAGATCTCCGTGAGTTGGAGGCCATCCTGATCTGCAAGAGCTAGTTCCAGGATAACAAGAGGACTACACAGAAAAACACTGTCTCAAAAAACAAAGCAAAATTACTTGATAATTTGTTGTTTATCTCTAAGAATTGAGTATAAAGGAAAGGCAAAAGAAGAAGTTAATTTTCCTTGATTTTATGGTTTTTGAAATGTGTCGTGTCATTATCCATGGGTTGTCATGTCCCATGCCCTCACGAGCACGTCATCTGGTCCCCAGCTGGTGGCCTTGGCTAGGGGACTATAGAACCGGTAAGAAGTGGAGCCTAGTTAGAGGAAGTGAGTCACTGGGGTCGGACTTTGAGGTTTATAGCCAGGCCCTGCATGGGGGCTCTCTCTCTCTGTTCTGCCACACTGTCAGGATGTGTGAGTCCCAGCCATCTGCTTCCCTTTCTTCTTTGCCACAATGGACCGTGTCCTGTCAAACCATGAGACTAAAGAAACCCACCTTCCTCTAAGTTGCTTTAAAAAAAATTTTTTTAATTTACATATATAAATGTGTCCCTGCTTATCTGTATGTGCACCACATGTGTGTAGTACCCACAGAGGCCAGAAGATGGCGTTTAGAGCCCCTGAATTGGAGTTACAGCTGGTTGGTTGTGAGCCACCATGTGGGTTCTGGGACCTAAACCCAGGTCCTCTGTGAGGGCAGCCAGTTCTCCTAACTGCTGAACCATCCATCTATGTTCTTCTTGTTACTTGTGTTTTTAATTTTCTTTTTAAAAATTTTGATTTATAAAGTACTGACATTTGAAAACCCAACATACTATCCTATATTTAATTTTTACCAGTTATTGTAACAAAGTGTAGTGTCTTATCAGGAGGCACAGGGAGTGTTGCTGGCCTTGTGAGAACTGATTACTCCCATGCTCCCATAAGCCTCCACTCTGTAGAATTCATTTAGTGCAGAAAGTTATGTGTAACTGAGGTTTATTGGAAACTTTTTTCTGTCCTGAAATTCAAACCCAGAGTTGTGTGTGCTAGGCCAGCACTACAATGCTGAGCTAGGTTCCTAGTCCTTGAGTTTTGAGACTGTCTCACTGTATGCCTTGGACTGATTTTGAACTAGGCTAAGATATAGTTCATAATCCTTACACTCTGTCTCCCAAGTATGGGGATTTCAGGCCTGCACTCCTGCACCTGCATAGGTTCTTCAAGTTCAGCTTTCCTCAAAACTGTGACACTTCAACTTAACAACTTTTAAAATTCTGATTTTTGAAAAAAATTATACTGGATACTCTTGAATCAAGAGCATTCACCTTCTGTTCATTTTACCACAGTTAGCCTAGGTCCAGCAAGAAACCTCCTCAAAGGAATAAAGTGGAGAATGTTTTATACATATAGCAAAATGCTATGTACACATATACCACAGTTACACAGAAAGAGAAAAGCATTTATAATTATAATAGAAATTTGCTTTTAAAAATGAATTTGGATTTCTCCCTTTTTTATGTCCTAAAAAGTATTTTTGGGAACATAAAATTGGAATCATCTTTGAGTGTTATTTGGTGACCAGACTGTGCCCACTACCAACGACACTCTTCAGGGTCACCTGCATCCTGGATTCTTGCTCATATTTTCAGGTCTTCCCAAATAATACATTTGCCTGAGTGTGCGCTTGCTCCTGAAGCAAGCCGCTTGCCCCTCAAATGTCGGAAATGACTGCCACAGAGACATACTTGATACTCAGGGTGTGGAACAATTGCTTGGCCAGGGACACGGTAATGAAGATCACAGATGCATTGGCCCTCATAGGAACAGTTATTTTTCCTTTGTAAATGGAAAAAACGCCTCGGATTGCCCTGTATTTATAGCATCCATGTGCCTGTACTTTCCAGGGGAGGCCTCTGGTTCATATCCTTCTCAGACCACCAAACAGATCGTTAGTTTTGGGAAATTGTTCATTCTTCTGGTATCGGAAGTCCAGTTCTTTGCAACTATTTTATTTTATATAGAAGTTCAGAAACTGTTCAGAGGCCAGAGAGATGGCTCGGGTTAAAGACGCTTTCGGCATAAGCTGGGAAACCCCGGTTCAGTCTCTAGAACCCGCTCCACAGAGTTGTTCTCCACGCTGTGTGCGGTGGTGTGCGTGTACCTGCATGTGCTCACTCCATTCCAGTAATATACATACATATACATATGTACAATAATAGTTTTAAAAACTTAAGACCTCAATTCAGGCTGAGCAAACGGCTCAGTCGTGAAAGCGCTTGCTATGAAATCATGGAGTTCTGAGTTTGGTCCTCAGAACCCCAGCGAAAAACCGGCACAGGTTTACAGCCCTTACACAGGGGAGCTGGAGACAGGTGGGTTCCTTAGGCGTGTGAGCCAGGGAGCTCCAGACCTACCAATGAAAGGCTGACCGAAAAAACGAGGCAGACAGCTCTGGAGAAACTTGAGTACGCACGCATGCACGCATGCGCAGACAAAGGAAACTCAGTCCTAATTACTTGTTTTAAAGAAGGAGGATCATGGGACTGGGGAGATGGCTCCATCAGTAAAGTGCCTGCCTGGGGTACTAGCAGGAGGACCTGAGGTGGAAACCCAGAACCCACATAAAAAGCTGGGTGTGTCAGCGTGCACCTGTCATCCCTGCACTGAGGGGTCAGAGACAGGAAGAGCCCCAGAGTATGTTGGCTGGCCTAGGCCGAGTCAGCCCCAAGTTCAGGGGGCTGCCATCATTTATATTTTTTTATATTTTATATTTTTTTAAATTATGTATATGGGGGCTGGAGAAATGGTTCAAATGGTTAAGAGCACTGTCTGCTTCTCCTGAGGATTCAGATTTGGTTCCCATGGCCCTCATGGCAACTAACAGCTGTCTGCAACTCCAGCTCCAAGAGAATAGACGCTCTCTTCTGGTCTCCCTAGGCACTGCATGCACACAGTGCGCTACATACATGCTAGCTAAACAACCATATGCTTAAAATAAAACAATTTTTTAAAATTGTGTGTGTGTGTGTAGGGAAGTATATACTGTAAGTGCAGGTGGCCATGCAGACCAGAAGAAGGCATCAGATATCGTGGAACTAGAGTTATGGGCAGTTGTAAGCCACCCAGTATAGGAGCTGGGAACCAAGCTTGGGTCCTCTGGAGAAGTAGCAAGCACTCTTAACCACCAAGCACCTCTTCAGCCCCACCGTGTATGTTTTCATTCCCTGTGTACAGTGTTTTTTGTTTTATTTTAGCAACTTTCAATTTTTCCCCATATCTCCAAGCATTTAATAAAGATGTGCGTTTTTCATTCCATCTTCATACTTATCAGGTGTAGGTTTGCTGAGTTTATTGGAACTTAAGCTTCTGTTTTCCCAAGCATGGAGAAACTTTGCCTTCTTTTAGTTTTACAAATGATTTCCTGCCTTATTCCTCCCCTTTGTTTCACGCCTGGTAAACTTCACTGCTCATGATTGTTAATGGAGAGAGTGCGCTGTGCTCACTGTCACGCTAGCAGTCGAACCCAGCTGGATTACAAATGCTGCCTCCGCTCAGACGAGCATTGCCTGCTACCTGTGCTCGGTCCTTTAATTGCGGCCGTCCAGGGATCAGCGAGGGTCAGGTAGACTTTCTGCAGAGATTTGGAGAGTCATTGTCTTTTTCTGAGACACCCTCACTCACTTTGCAGTAACATTGCTAGCTCTACACTCGGGTTTCCCAGCCCTCACGCCAGAATGTTGCAGATGTGCGCTTTAGGATTAAACAGTTCCACGTGGTCTGTGTAGTTGTGTGACTGTGGCCCCTCCTGCTGCCGCTGCCATTCTGTTCTGCATTTGCGTGTGTTGCTTTGTCTAAGTACGTAGTCCTTCTCTGCAGAAGGGCTGCTTTGTTGCTGCTACCCCGTCATCACCAGACGCTGCGCCGCATTACTTGAATTGTTTTCATTGACTTTCTCTCGATGCTGCAATGGATTAAACAACATCTTACTTTATTGTAGGGGCATGATGAGTTTCTCTTTAAAGCATAATAATGAAATTGAATGTATCTGTAATGCTGTTTCTCCTTCCTTTTACAGACAAGAGATGATTTCCTTGGTCAAGTGGATGTCCCACTCTATCCCTTACCGGTTAGTATAGGTGTTTATAATTTTGGGTTTTGTGTTTATAATTTTTAATTATAATGACCAACATGAGTCTTAAATATATGAGCTCTTTCCAGAAATTCATCTCAATTTTCTATTCACTTGTCTATAAGATTTCCTTACATGAGCTCCAACAAGAAACAGAACTGCTGGGATTGGTTAGCAAGATGGAAACAGGGTTTAAAGTGGGGGGGGGGGTGGAATCACCTTACTAAATAGAGCAGCAAGAGCCTAGGCTCACGGAAGGGAAGCAAGAGACTGTGCCACACTGCAAATGTGAAACCCTAAGAACCGAGTTGGATACAGCCGGAGGAAGGGCTTAGGAAGCCTTTTAGAATCAAACGTCTCTGGGGCGCTGGAGAGGTGGCTCAGTAGTTGAGAGAACTGTTACCGAAGACCTGAGTTCAGTTCCTAGCACGCCTCTGGTACAGCCAAAAACCACAGGTCTATGGGATCCAGTGCCCTCGTCTGGCTTCTCATGGATCCTGCGCATGTGTGGTGCACATTTAAAGTCGGAGGAATGAGCGTTTAAAGAGGCAGTTAGTAGCAGTACACAAGTAAATTGTGTAGGGAAAGAAATAGGCAGGGTTCTGTTCTCACCGTCCAAATAAGCAAAATAAAGAACCAGATGGAAAGCCTTAGTCAGCATGGGTGGATCAAAGGTAAGTCAGAAGGTAGAGGGGTACAGAACCAAAGAAAAGAAATGGTTTCATAGTATGTGTAGTAGTCCATCCTTGTAATTGTGACATTTGAGAGGCTGAGGCCAGAGGATTACAACTGACTTCATAGTGAGAACTTTCCTATAAGTTACAAGGCATAGAGACTAGTTAATGCAAAGAAGCAGAGACGTAATAAAAAGCAAAGGATTGATGAACTTTTAAGTAAGAGAAGGGAGACTCGTAGCTCCGTGCAGTGTTTAGTGCTCATAAGCGTTCGTGACTACATTTGACCTACTCTGACTTTCGGGCTGGCATTCTGCATATCACATGTTTCTCTGATGCCAGGGCTCTGCCCACACTGCCCTGTTCTCTCCTGACTACTACCCATCATCTTCCTGCTCTGCTGGGTCACAACCTAGTTCTGGTGTTGCTGCAGTTCCTGTGCAGGAAGCAAAACCACGTGGTTACCAGCTAACCCTCTTAACAAGTTCACGCTGCCTTTTCTCATTCTGCAGTTATGTCTTTCATTATGGTTTATAAATATTCTTGAAAAGTACCTGATTCCCTTTCCTCATTTTAGACAGAGAACCCAAGAATGGAGAGACCATATACATTTAAGGATTTCGTTCTTCATCCAAGAAGGTCAGTAAATATATAATTATAGCATATTAAGCATAATATTTTTGAGATTTTATTTATTTTTTATTTTATATATATGCATGTCTACTTGAATGTGTACTACTACATGTGTGCAGTGCCCAAGGAGGCCAGAACAGGGTGTTGTAGCCCTTGGGGCTGGAATTACAGACTGTTGTGAGCTGCCATGTGGCTGCTGGGAATTGAACCAATGAGTCTCAAGGGATCTGATTCCCTCCTCTGGTGTTTGTGGTGACACACACACACATACATACAAAGCACACACCTACACAGATATGTGCATCTAAATAAAAAGAAAATAATTCTTTACAAAATGTAAAGTACTTGGTTCACATTGCAAATAAAATTCTAAAATAGATATAGAAAGTAGGAAGGAAAAGCCCCCCCATATTTATCACATAGATAACTGTAATTCCTGTAAAACAAACGTCCAACTTGATATGTACAAATGCAAATTAAGGAAAAATCTAACTACATTGTTCAAATATTAATTAAAAATATTTTAGAAGACTCATATATTCAGAGAAAACATCATGAAGAGAGCATAGATTTTAAAACCCAAATAACATAATAATTATTCCATTTTTTCTGAACTGGATTACATGATTTACATGGTTCTATTATTATTATTATTATTTATTATGTATACAATATTCTGTCTGTGTGTCTGCCTGCAGGCCAGAAGAGGGCGCCAGATCTCATTACAGATGGTTGTGAGCCACCATGTGGTTGCTGGGAATTGAACTCTGGACCTTTGGTAGAGCAGGCAATGCTCTTAACCACTGAGCCATCTCTCCAGCCCCTTTATTATTTTTTTAATAAAAAAATTTAATCTTTTTGTTGTTGATTTTTCAAGACAGGGTTTTTCTGTAGCTTTGGGGCCTGTCCTGGAACTCTCTCTGTAGACCAGGCTGGCCTCGAACTCACAAAGATCCACCTATCTCTGCCTCCCAAGTGTTAGGATTAAAGGAGCACGCCACCACCCCCACCTAGTCAAGTGTAATATTTTTAAGATTTATTTATGTGTGTGTGCCCCACATCCATACAATGCTCAGGCAGGCCAGAAGAGGGCGTCAGATCCCCTGAGACTTGAGTTACAGCCAGCTGTGAGCTGCCATGTGGGTGCTGGGAACTGAACCTGGTTTCTCTGCAAGAGCAGAAAGTGCTCTTAACCACTGATCTGTCTCTCCAGTCTTCCAAAATTTAAATTTTAGGTTGTAAATGAAATTCCTTTTGGTCTTTTGTGCCACATAGCCCAAGTAAAATCGATTTAGAATGTGTGATTTACCATCATGAGTCCAAATAGCAGATCAAGGACATCTGGGAAAACCATAGCATTTGCTTTATTTTTGTTTCAAAATAAGAAATGCATTTGAGCATTGTGTTATGGGCACTTGAAAAAAATTCATTTAAAATGACTCCTTAAACTTTTTATTTATAATACAAATATTAAAACAAAATAAAGGAGCCCTTGCTTTATGGTTGTGTTGCTGTTTATTCTCTTTGAGAACAGTCCTGCATGTAATTCCTGTAGAAATCTTGGGGTTCAATCTCTTTTCTTCCTTTAATTTTGGACTGATTGCAATGTATGCATACCGGGAATAGCTAAGGAGATATTTTCTTCCTTGTTTGCTTGTCCTGATAGCTGGCCTTTCAACTGCTAGAAACTCTTTATACTACCTTTTTCTTAAAAAACAAAACAACAGCAACAAAAATTCTGTCTCCTGTCTGCATTGACTATGCTGCAAAGCCACCTGGGCTTCCGCTATGTCTCTGATCACGGATCATGTCCATGTCATCTTCCCCCCAACCCCCGCAGCTTAGAGCCCAACTGAAGGTCCTGGATTGTCTCTGATCCTACCTCTAGCCATCCCAAGCCCCTTACCTGTAATGTAGTGGCCTCCCTTTCTCCTCCGTCCCTCTTCCCCTCCTTCCCACCCCACCCCTTTCCTTTCTCCACCCCTGTTCTCTTTGACAAATATCCTCTTCACAGAACTTGAGCCCCAACTAGTAGATCCCCAAACAAATACTTTCTTCTTGGTATTCAAGTTCCGTGAATAATTATTTCTTTTCCACAGCCACAAATCAAGAGTTAAAGGGTATCTGAGACTGAAGATGACTTATTTACCTAAATCCAACGGCTCAGAAGATGACAATGCAGATCAGGCTGAGGAACTAGAGGTGAGAGTCCAGAGATGTTTGCTTACGCTGCCAAAGGAGCTGTCTGCTGTCTTTCTACATACTTGGTGGAAAAATAATGTTGTTCAGAGAAACCAACACATGCAGTAAAAGTCACTGGGATGTTGATTTCACCGAATGTTCCTTAAGCAGTTTTCCCGCTGGAGTTATTTCTGTAGAGTGGCTGTTGTTGGTCTTAAAGGTTAGAAAATAGGAAATGCAATAGTTAACAATATAAGTGTTTATTATAGTTATATCATTAACTATTTTTAGTTTTTCAAAACCATATCTTAGTCTCCTTAAGAATAAGAAAATAATTTAGTATTTGTAAAGCTAAATATGTAGACATATGACTATATTAAAATTACTATAATATGTTATTATTGAATTGTCATATTATAAAAGAAACTCTTGGGATATGTAATTCTTGTTGCTTTTCTTGTGTTTATTTGAAATAAGTATAAGTTCATGATTTTCATGGATTGCAAGAATAACAGACAGTCCAAGCCTGGATAGAGCTCCACACCCTTGGGTGTGTGGAGGAAGAGAGTATTGGGGTACAAAGTACTGCCTTCCTGGGGTCCCCTAGAAGGCAGAGCTCATCTGAAGGGAGCACCATCTATTCAGCCACACGTAGTGTGTGTGTGTGTGTGTGTGTGTGTGTGTTGCCTAACTGTTCAAGAAGGTTCTTGGTTGTGTGTGCTTTCTTCCTCAGTCGTGTCTTTGTTTGGCTCTGAATGCCACCAGAGCAATGAAACCAGGACCTCCCTGGGGCCTGGACTCCAGCTCACGTGCCTGGATGCCTTGTGAAGAACGGTCTGGAGCAGGGAGTGAATTAGCAAAGCTTTTGGTATAATAAATACCAAATGCAATAATGAAATTTTGTTTTGTGGGGGGATGTCTGAAAATAGCTGTTTTTTCTAGTCACAAAACACAGGTGACCCCTAAGTTGGTTACTGAACCTTGTTACGTACCCTCTCTGAAATATGCATCCACCTCTTTGATTAACCTTGCTTCTCATCTGTTTGTCTCTTTTTTCCTTCTAATAATTTTTTAGATGTACACTTTTTAAATATTTTGTTTGTTGTGTTTGTTATGTGTGATTGTTTGGCTTACATGAATGTACACGTCAGAGCTGTTTGAGATCCCTTGGGACTGGAGCTACAGGTAACTGTGAGCTGCCATGTGGGTGTTGGGAATTAAACCGGGTTCTCTGGAAGAGTAGCCAGTGCACTTAACTGCTGAGCCATCTTTTGAGCCCCTGTTCATTCATTTTCCTTCCCTCCCTCTCTCCCTTACTGTGTGTGTGTGTGTGTGTGTGTGTGTGTGTGTGTGTGTGTGTGTGTTCGTTCGTGTTCCATGGTATACTAGTAGAAGTCAGAGGACAGCTGACAGGAGTCCATTCTCTCTCCTCCCCTGTGAAGGTCCCGGGGACCGAACTTAGACATAAACTTGACAGCTAGATTCTTTATCTCTGGAACCACCTCACTGGCCCAGATTTTAAGCTCTCAAGAGATTGGGGGTGGGGTATCTAAGTCTGTACGTGGCATAGTAGTGCAGAGGGTATCTTGCATTGTATAATTCTGTTTGAAAGGAAGGGTGTCTGCTATGAAGACAGAAAAGACTTTCCTAGAGACTTGAAACACTTTGCAGCTTTCATTCCTGGGGAACCTGCACATGGCTCACAGGCAGCTCATGCACGGTTCGCCCCTGTGGTGTAGACTGGCTTTGCTTCATGCTGTGGCCTCCCATCGCAATGTTTGGATTCCTTCAGAGTCCACCTTATAATTTCAGGAGATGGGAGCGTGTCGTTTGTTTACGGAAAGGCCAAGGAATTCAGACACACAAATGTGCTTGTTTATCTTCTGGGCAGCCAAAGACCAGAGAAGTCTTGCCTGCTTCTTTGACATCTAGTTTGTGACTAAATATTTAAAATTCTGCATTTGAAGAAAACGGTTGTAGTGCTGGAGGAGCTGCTTTCTGGGCAGAGTGGCTCTGAGGAGCAGTTATGTAATGCATTTCCTTTGTGCTCTTTGCGCCTCGGGGTTTTACATGATTAGTGTAAAATGTTTGTCTCAGCACTCTGTGTTTGCTTTCCGGCCCCGCTGACTGCATTAAATTGTAGGTATTTGCATATTGGCTTTCAGACTAGTAATTAGGATTCCTTGACTTGTAGAAAATTATTTTATGAGAAAATAGATAATCCATGTTTCTTAGGAATCTTACCCAAAAACTGAAAACATTATCTTTCCCAGTAGTATTTGGGGTACAATTGTACTTTCTCAAACTTGAAACCATTTCATTTTTTAAAGCCCTAAATTAAGTTACATTTTTTTCATTATTCTTATTGAATTTACGTGAACAACACTAAAGCAGATCTTTAAAAAGGGAAATATTCTGGGGCCAGGGAGATGGCTCAGTGGGTAGAAGCACTGGCTGTGAAGCTTGACCACCCGAATTGAAGCTCCATCCTCAGAATACACGCGATAGTGTTCCTACAGCAGGATGGGAAAAACCGGACACTAGCCTGGAAGCCCCAGGGCCAGCCAGTGTGTGCACCTCAGTGGCAGAAATAGCAAGAAAGACCCTGCACAGTGAGGTAGAAGGAGAGAACCAACTCCAAAACCATGCCTTCTGATCTCCACATGCATGGCATGCAAGCGCCCCCCCCTACACACACACTCATGAAGTAAAGAGAAAAATTGGTACTATTTCCTACCTCTAAATAGTTTTTTAATATTTATTTATTTATGTATACAATATTCTGTCTGTGTGTATGCCTGCAGGCCAGCAGAGAGCACCAGACTCCATTACAGATGGTTGTGAGCCACCATGTGGTTGCTGGGAATTGAACTCAGGACCTTTGGAAGAACAGTCAATGTTCTTAACCCCTGAGCCATCAGCCCCGAGATTTTCTTTATAAGGCTCAATGTTATCATCACATACAGAAAGGAAACAGGAAAAATGAAGATGAAGTGAGAGAGGAAAAGAAGAGAACGGAATTTGAGCAACAGGGAAAAAAATGAAGCATCAGCTTCCATAGAAGTAAAAAGAAAAACAGAGAGGAGTAAGCTAGAAGGGACTTACTTTAGCTTTACAGGTAAAGTCCTCCACTAAGTGATTCTGTCTCCTTCCCCCAACCCTCCTCCTCTCTTCCTCCTCAGCACCTACCTCCCACATCTTTTCTTGACCCCCTTTCGTCCAGTGCAGTCTTCCAACAGTGCCAGGGCCGTGTCCCTTTCCCAGCCTGCATCTGCCTGCACATGCGTGCCCCCAGGGTCTTTAGGACCCAGAATAAAAGCCCAGTGTCTGTTAAAGTATTTATCTGTTATAGTACCAAAGACTTTTCCAGTGTCTCTTGCTTTGTTTTGGTTTAGTAGGGCATGGGTACGTATATGTTTATTGTTATATTTTAAGTCAAATGTATAATTCTTTTTTGTGCTTTCTGGATTTACTGTCATTTTCTGCTCTTGGAATATATTGCTTTAAATTTCTCCAATTTTGTTCAGCTACCGTTTGGGTTTATTTCTTTAGCATTTGAATATTACTCGGTCTGTAGTGTATCCTGGTAGAAGATAGGGATCCAAATTAATTTTTTTTCCGACAGGTACCCATTATCTAAATAACCTTCCTATTTCCCCAGCGATTGAAAATGTGTTTGTTATGTGCTGAATTCCTCTGAGCTTTGTTCGTTCTGGGTTTCCTAGTCTGTTGCTCTGAGCTGTCTGTACCACGTCTCTCTGCGCAGCAACCGCAGCCTAGAGTGTTTTCTCTTCCAGACTCGTCTCCATGCCTCGCTCCTTCCTTAGACTGATACTGGTTATGTCTTATATGTATTTCTGTTTGAACTTGAGAATTGACTCTCACTATTTTTAAAAGTCTAAAACATACAATAATTTTTTTATCAGAATTTTGACAAATTTGGCCAGCGGAGATGTTCCATCATACCTGATATATGTGGTGTTCGGGATGGAACCCAGGGCCTCATGTGTGGTAGACACGGGTTTGCTAACTGGGCTATATGCCCCAGCTTCTGTTGAGGATTCAGAGTTCTGTTTGTTTGTTTGTTTGTTGTTTTTGTTTTTATTTGATTTTTTTTGAGACAGGGTTTCTCTGTAGCTTTGGAGCCTGTCCTGGAACTAGCTCTTGTAGACCAGGCTAACCTCAAACTCATAGAGATCCACCTTCCTCTACCTTTTAAATGTTGGGATTAAAGGTGTGTGCCACCACCAGCTAGCAAGAGAAATTTTGCAGTTTTATTTTTATTATTAGGGGTGTGTGTCAGTGTGTCGGTATAAGTACTTGAGTACACATGCATACGGAGCCCCAAGGTATTAGAACTGGAGTTACAGGCAGTTGTTAACAACCTGATGGGGATTCTCCGAAACAAATTCAGGCCTGCTTCGAGAACAGTATGCTCCTAATCACTGAGCAATCTCTCTAGGCTCTGTTACCAGGTTTTTATTACAAAGTATGCCATTAATATTTAATATTTTTCTCTTAATTCTTTACTTAACTGCCCTAGGGATGTATGCATTTTGTCTCTTTTTAGTCTTAACCAAATCTCTGTGCATTTCTTTTTTAAAATCCCTTATTTGACTGTTTTACAACGTGACCACAGTGCCTGTAGTGGGCCTGTATTTCTCCCCTGGACTGGGGAGAAATTGAAAATGCAGACATGAGTATCAGAGCGCTGTATCTGTCACCACACACCCCTGTGTGGTGAGTGTTTCTCAGTGACTATCTCGTCTCTGTTGGTCCTCTCAGGATCTGACCTCAGTTGACAGCTCTTTTCATGTCTGTGGTGTTTGCTGATTTCCACCATGAGCAAGGCACGTTCTCTGTGGGAGAGATGATGCCTTGTTCAGTTGCTTGTGCCTTCGAGAGCAGCCAGGGTCAAGCTGGTTTCAGTCGTTTCTCATTTCCTAGTACCTTCCAACGTCACCATCCTTGTTTAGTGATTTAAAAGGTTTGGGGTTTGGTTTTTGTTATTGGTTCATTTTTTTTTCAGGATGGGGGTTGTTATTGTTTTGTTCTTTTTATTTCTGTCTTGTATTTTAAACTTTTGGCAGGTTTTAAAGCGTCCTCAGTTTAAATGCTTATCATTTTGCAGGAAAGCCTTGGTTACAAAATATTAACATTCTGGCCACGAGAGTTGAGCATGTACTACTTCTGTTTATGCATAATTTCTGGAATTGAACATGTGAAATCCTTCTTTTGTTTCCTTTATTTATAATTTATAAAGCTTTTTAAAAAATGTCAAGTGTAACTTAATTGCTTCCATTCTGTTTTTCAGCCTGGCTGGGTTGTTTTGGACCAACCAGATGCTGCTAGCCACTTGCAGCGTCCACCAGAACCTTCTCCCCTACCTCCAGGATGGGAAGAGAGGCAGGATATCCTTGGAAGGACCTACTATGTAAACCATGAGTCTAGAAGAACACAGTGGAAGAGACCAAGCCCTGAGTATGTGCCCATCTGGATATATTTTGCCGCCACTTTGCATGTTGATGCCATGTCTCGAGCTGGTTCATAGTGGCACAGGGATCCCTAAGCTGTAAGATAACTGTCCCTGAAAAACTGCTACCTTGGCTGAGGTTTTTATTTAAAAAAAAAATGATAGTATTTAAAATTATCTGAGGGCAAGCAAGCCTGACAGCCCACATAGTGGAAAGAGAATCAAATCCAAACGCTGTCTTCCGTCCGCCGCAAATCTACCACGCCAGGCTCTCGCCTATAGACACACACAAAAGTTACTTGAGCGTTCAGCTGTGGCTCAGTTGATAGATACTTGCCTGCCATCCAGGAGGCCCTGAGTTCCACCCCTAGCACCACATAAAATGGAGTATGGCGGTGCACACCTGGACCCTCAGCACTTGAGGGGTGGAGGCAGGAGGATTAGGAGTTCTTAACTACAGCAAGGTTGAGACGAGCCTGGGCTTAGGTATTTTATGTGTATGGGTGTTTTGCCTGCAACTGTATGTCTGTGCAACAAGTTTATCCACCTATCATGGAAATTTTTGTGGTGGGCTATTAAAATATTCGATCTGTATTCTCTGCAATGTTTTTGTGCTGCTAGAGATTGAGCAAGTACCTCGGTCATGCTAAGCAAGCTTTCTACCACTGAACTATAACCCCAGTACTTCAATTTTAAAATATAAATTATTTTTAAGTCCTAGAGGAACCACTAATAAAGATCCCATGTTAAAGACCCTTCTCTGATTTGGTCATGCGGAGAGCAAGGATGAAATGGTACAGAATTGTGCAATGATTTCATTTGGGGTTAAAGGTTTAGCTCACTAATAAAGTGCTTGACTAGAAAGCTCAGGGTCCTAGGTTCAATCCCCAGCACCGAAACAAATGAGCAAACCAACAAAAACTGTGCATATATTTTCAGACTTTTCAATATCGGATGCCCTTCTTTCTTTTCATGTGGCCTCCCATAGCTGTTTTCGGTCTTTGGATGTTTGACACACACTTACAGTTTCTCTTACCACTCCATTAACTTCCTGATACTGTACATCTGATACTTACTGAGAACTTTGGTCCTGTCTAGTCTCAAGTCCCTCCAAAGTAGACCAGTGGTCATACTGTCCAGCATAGAGGCATCAGGATCTGTGCGATCTCATTCTGACCACAAAGTAGGAGATTCTGTAAAACCACCCTCTTGTCTTTGACAGACAGACCTGCCAAGCAGAATTGTCTTTCACTGTGGCTAGTGTCAAAATCGGGTGGCAATATTTAGGTGGGAAAAAATGTCTTAAACATTCCCTTAGAATCAAAAGTCACAGTTAACGTCTTTACCAGCCACAGCAGAGTAAGAAATGATCTTCTAGTGGCTGAGCAGGTTAGGGAGGCAACAACTGTGGGCAGAGGGACAGCTAGGCACAGTAACTGTGCTCTGTGGACCAGTAAGATGGCTGTGGTTGATATGACTGTATTGAATATTAAAGCTCCCCCATGTTCAGGCCACCCAGAAGAGACAGGCGAATGAATTGATAACACACCAAGAGCTCTGCTCTGCTCGTTACGCGGTCATGTACTGTGTGCACCCGTGAATCACACGGTATCCCAAACTGCCCAGTGTCGTCTTCTTCGCAATTTTTATCTTACTTTGTGCATGTGGCTGTTTTGCCTACATGTGTGTCTGTGCATAAGACTATGAGATTTCCTGTGACTGGCATTATAGACAGCTGTGAGCACTCTGTGGGTGCTGGGAACTGAACCTGGGCCCTCCGAAAGAGAAGCAGTGCTCTTAACCACTGAATTGTCTCTTGAGCCCCAGGATAGGCATTTTTTTTATGTGTCAACTAAAATAATTATATTTAGGAGTCGGGCATAGTAGCACACGCCTTTAATCGCAGCACTTGAGAAGCAGAGGCAGGTGGATCTCTGAATTCAAACCCACAGTGAGTTCCAGGACAGCCAGGGCTACATAGTCAGACCCTGTCTCAAAAAAAAACCCAAATAGTAATAATAATTTTATTTATTTACTTATTTTGGTTTTTTGAGACAGGCTTTCCCCCTTTCCTCCCTGAGTTACCTTTGGTCACAGCACAGGAAACTGACTAGGACACTGTCCTAGGCACAGTGATGTAGTAAATATCAGCCATTAGTTACACATTTGCAGGAGACTTTCTCTCCCCTGCCCCGGTTCCTAACAATATGGTCAGCATATTGAAATAGCTTTTGACCAAAGCCAATAAATTCAATCGAAGTATTTACTGACTGCAGACTCTTTGATTATGGTTCTAACTGTGATGAGGCAGGAGTGATACCCTCTTATACTTCTCCCTAGGGATGACCTCTCAGATGCTGAAAACGGTAATATTCAGCTGCAGGCGCAGCGAGCGTTCACCACCAGGCGGCAGATTTCGGAAGAGGTGGACAGTGCTGACAACCGGGAGTCCCCTGAGGTATGAACCCTTCTTTTGTTCCTGTTTCCAGCACATCCTAAAGCAGTGGATGAGTGTACTTGTGGCTCACGTGGATTCTGTTCTTTTTAGAATTGGGAAATTATACGAGATGAAGAAAACACTGTGTATAGCAGTCAGGCCTTCCAGTCACCTTCGTCGGGTCATGTAGATTCGCAGGCTCACCTCGCAGAAGAGTTAGATACCAGACTTGCTGTGTATGGAAATCCGGCCACCGGCCAGCCAGTCACCAGCTCGGTAAGATGTCTTAGATTTTGTGATGCTTTGTGATTTCATATCATAAATATGCTTTATGTAAACTTTTGTCTTAAGTCATGTGTAATGACGACATGTTGGGTCTTTATTATGTGGCCGTCTTTTTTTAACTTAACATCCTATTAACAGTATGGAGCAGGGTATGGATAACCCCAGTGTTGGCTGTAGTCACAGGGTCCCTTACTATCCTGGCAAACCCACCAGAAACGTGGAAGCCAGAAGCCGAGTTCCTTAAACATTTCAGCAAGAGAAAGCACACATGGTCGGTGAGAGGGTGTCAGGACAGTGGATTTGGGCTCCTTGTTGGGTAACTGTTAAGGAGGGTCCGGAGAGACAGTCTGGATGCTGTCAGGAAGAGGAGAGACCTGTGTGCTGGGTATCTCATCTCATCTGGCGTGACACTAACTCAGTGAGTAGCGGAGAAGAGCAGTTACTTACTTGCCAGGATGTGGCAGCTGCTTGTCGTTTTGTGGCTTAGCTAGTGTTATTTTATTTTGCCTGGTTCAGGTACAAATTAGAAGACATCTCAAGTTTGCCATGACCCTACCTATGTGTGCCAGGCCGGTTCCTGGGTGACAGAGGCTACTTGTCTTCTTGATTATATGAGGAATTTTGTTTTGTTTTGTTTTCTAATTTATTTTTATGTGTATGAGTGTTTTGACTGCATGTATGTGTACCATGTACATGCCTGGCATCCTCAGAAACCAGAAGTAACAGATCTCCAAGAACTAGAGTTAGATACAGTTGAGAAATACCATATGGGAGTTGGGAACTGAGCTCAGGTCCTTTGGACCATAGAGCCATCTCTCCATCCCCTCTATGAGGTTTTACCCTTACATCACAGCTGTTGCGGTACATGTGTCAATAAGAGCCATGTTAAAGAGAGGCGATGGTTTCTCTTGCTGTCTGCAGCAGGGTTCAAGAGCAAAGCATCCCAGCGTACACCACCCTTGTGAGAACTCTGCCTGGCTTTTTCTAATTTGTACCATGAGGCAGGTTCAGTAGAAGGCAGTTTACTCTCCGTGGCTGCTCTAGTCACTCTCTGCTTTATTCAGTAAGTGACTGTTTCCTGTGGGCTGACCTAAAGAAGGCACCATAACTAATCACTCACTGGGAGTCCCTCTGTAATAAAGCGACAGAACCCCTTGCTTCACAAGACTTCCATTCTAGTGCAGGGGTCATCGCTGCGTCCTGCGGGCCAAATCTGCAGCTGCCTGTTGCCATAAATAAGGTGTCATTGGAATGCAGCCATTCCTACTTGTCCGTAGCCACGTTCACACCATATCTCGGAGTCGAGCGGTTAGAGGAACTGGCTTCAGTGTTGGCCCCCAGTGGACAGTGTTTGCAGACTTCCAGCACCTTATTCTAGACGCTTCACCCCACAGTTAGATGTACCTGCATATATGAATATCCGTCAGTTCACCTGCCGCCTCCTTCCCTTTCCCTCTTCCAGCAGCCTGTTCTGTTTCCTGTTGATTTAATTAATTAACCAGTCAAGGACTTATCAGGTTTACAGACCAGGTATGGGGAGATGAGTCAGTGAAGTGTTGGCCTTGCAAATAGGAGTCCCTGAGTATGATGCTCAGAACCAATGTCAAATAAAAAACCAGGTGTGATGACATACACGAGTCATGCTTAGGCCATGTATAGGTGTCACCAGTTAAGAGTATTCTCATCTTGTGTTTAAACCTGAGACAAAACTGAGGCCTACAGAACAATAAATTATGTTTCCTCCGTGACTGTTACTGGCTCAGGATATAGTGTCCTAAACATTTTGTATATATTCGTAAACATAAATGTACACACATATATACTTTTAAGGTTTTTATAGATTTATTTTTAATAATGTATATATACGTCTGTATGTATCTGTATACGGGTTTGTACACATGAGTGTCATACCCATGGAGGCCAGAAGAGAGCACCAGATCCCTTGAAACTGTAGTTACAGGTCTTTGTGAACTACCGGATGGGTGCTGAATCCCAAAATCTGGTCCTCTGGACATAACTGTAAATGGTTTACTTGTATATGTGTTTCTCATTTGTGTTGATGTGTTAGTTGGTTTGGGGTGTGAGAGTCAAACTCAGTCTTCTGCATACAGAGCATGTGTCTCACTCTTGTCCCCTTGCTATCGTCTTATATATTCTTTTTGGTAACTTTTTTTCACTTGCTAATTGGACTGTTTCCATGAATACCAATGTACTTCTTTTAAAGTCACCGAAGCCAATCTTCAGCTTTTGGCATGGCTTATGTACAAGTTGTCCTAAAAGTATCCACTGTTTTCCTGTTGTGATGAACTTAGATTGTTTGGCCATCTTGTTACCTGTATAAACAATACAATTTGGGATATTCTGATTTTGTGTATGTGTGTTTATAAGTTTTGATGTCATTTAATAACAAAAACAAGATATTTCAGTCAGTGGTAAGAGCTTGTATATCAAGAGAAAGGGGAAGAGAGACTATGGGATTTCCAGGAAGTAAGTCATTGAAGTGGAATGCCCAGTGGTGGACTGTGAGGCCGGAAGTGACTGGAGCTGAGGAAGAGGCGGGCCCAGGGCAGAAGCACTGTGTTTGGTGCTGTACGTCAGAGTGGTAGCTGAAGCTCCGTTGAAGGCTTCAGCCAGAGAACCAGGGGACTCAATCTAGCCCTCTGGCTGCAGTAGGAAGCCCTTGCCACTGCTGAAGTAACTAAGGTGGCAAATGGTGAGAATTTGATTTAGGAAGAACAAGAACCACACTGTAACCATCAGGAAAGGTAAATGTATTGAGCACTAGTTAGAAAGACCAACTAGGATGAAGGATGAGTTAGCATAGATGTACACAGAGAGAGCCCAAGCCCATCTGTGGACAGCCAGCGAGCAGAGAACGTGCACACAGAACTCGCCCTTTTGGGGGTGGAGGGAGGAGAGAGGAGGCATCCCCCATGGGTCTTCCCTTGTTTCTTAGCCTCATCCTTCCCAGCATCACCCTCACCCTGCTCCTTGTCTGCACCCTGAGGGGAGACCTAAAAGCCTTACTGTTTCCTCCCCTCAAGAATCATTCCAACCAGAGAGGCAGCTCGCAAGCCTGTATCTTTGAGGAACAGCCTGCACTTCCTGTGGTGAGTTTTCTCCTCTCCCCTTAGCCAAGAACGAAAGATAGAAAGCTCAGTTGTTTTTTAATTATTGCATATCACAACCCTGAGTGTGAGTGACTGCCCAGCAGGGGACTGAGGAGACGCGGGGTACAACCTAAGAGAACTGCCTCTCATGGAAAGCAGGCCCCTGCTGATGATGGTGGGTGGAATTTGGCTTCTCCGTGCTGCTGGGAGGTGCTGGGCCCCTGCTACTGCACACATGATCCACAGCACCAGCTGTGTCCCGACCTGGCACCCAACAGCCAGACCTGCCCTATGTATGTTGTCCCATGAGGGATGTCATCCCTCAGTCCAGTGTGTGTACCAGTGGCCAGGTTCGAGGTTCATCTCCTGGCGCCTCCTTTCCCGTTGGTCTCAGTCCACACTCAGTAGAGACCTGTGCTGATGAACAGTGATCTCTCACTCCGTCTTCTTCCTGGCTCCCCTCTTACTGTGCCAAGTTCTCACTGCCTTGCGTAGTCACTTTTGTTTGTGACAGGATCTCATGTGTCCTCCTGCCTCCACCTCCCACGCGCTAGAACTACAGGCACAGAGTGCTTTCTAGATCAGCACCCTACCAATGAGCTATATCCCCAGCCTCACTTGTCTTTTCAAATAGAATTAAACTCTGAGGCGCCTGCCTTTTCAGCCCTCCCTTCCCCTTGCCTGCCACCTTGGCTCCTGTCTGCCTTCTTCCAAACGCCTGGCTATTCTCAAAACCCTAATTCTCTTCCTCTCTCATCTGTGTGCACATTCCATTTCTCCTCTTGGGAGGACCTCGCTTTCCCACCAATCATCCCACCTTTGAACGGCAGTCTGTGTATCAGTTACGAGAAACAAGGTTAGTGCGTTCACAGGATGACATCGTGGGGATGCTGAGTCTATATATCAGTTAGGAGAAAAGAGCTTTGTGCCTTCATGGGAGGATGACATCGTGGGGATGCTGAGTCTGTATATCAGTTAGGAGAAAAGAGCTTTGTGCCTTCGTGGGAGGATGACATCGTGGGGATGCTGAGTCTGTATATCAGTTAGGAGAAAAGAGCTTTGTACCTTCGTGGGAGGATGACATCGTGGGGATGCTGAGTCTGTATATCAGTTAGGAGAAAAGAGCTTTGTACCTTCATGGGAGGATGACATCGTGGGGATGCTGAAGCTGCAGCATCATCAGCTCGAGAGTTGCCTAGGGAACTGGCTCATCTGTCTTAAAAAGATGGTTCCCTACTGAAAAAGATTCCTGTAGTCAGACTTTCTTTTGGAACCACTAGCCCACAAATGACATGAAGACTTATTATTAATTATGAAAGATTGGCCTTTGCCTTAGGCTTGTTCCCAGCTAGCTCTTATAACATAAATTAACCCATTTCTGTTCATCTATGTAACCTGTTTCTCTTAATCTGTCTTCTGCCACATGGCTTTTACCTTTCTTCCATTCTGTATATCCAACTTATTCCATGTCTCACTGGCATCTCCCGCGTGCTTGGATACTTCCTAAGTTCCTCTCTCTCCCCAGAAGTTCCACCTATTCTCTCCTGCCTAGCTATTGGCTGTTTAGCTCTTTTTAAAACCAATCAAAAGGCGCCTTAGGCAGAGACATATCTTTACGATAGATTCCTTCCATCCTATGCTGAGGATAAGGGCCCACCTGACTTTGAAGCCCACTGGCCTGGTCACATGACACCAAATCATAGAGGGCACAGGGGACTACCCTTTTACCCTGTTTTGGGATCCACATCCTCTCTTGTCTGATTATGCCAGAACATATGTTAGCAGAGATGAGGTCTCACTGTGGAGCCCCTGGCTTGCCTGGAACTCACATAGTAGGTCGGACTGGCCTCAGACTCACCAAGATCCCTGCCTCTGTACTTAAATGTGGTTTCTGGGGTAGTGTGCTTCAGTTCAGACATCACCTGCTTCTCTTAGGAACCATTTCCAAAGTCTCACTTTACCGTCTGCAGAGTGGCCAGCGTTCGCAATAATCTCCTCAGTTTGTGTGTGTGTGCACGCGTGTGTCCCTAAGCATATGGCTTCTGGTGTTGACATGTTTTATCATGCTCATTGTCTCTTTTCCTTCTTTCCAAATGAATTACTGTTTTGTATATATTTTAAAAGATGATTTAAAATGAAGTTCATTGTTCTAAATTTACAATGTATCATCTGCCCATTTTCTGTTGTGATGAGTTTTAGTTCAAAATAAATTACGGGTCATTTTAGAGCACTGGCCGTGAAGAAAGGCCCTGAGCTTCCATCAGGAGCTCTCCCCGGTTAACACGGAGTTTTTCTGTTATGCGTTAGCTTTTGCCTACTTCATCTGGATTGCCGCCAGGTTGGGAAGAAAAACAAGATGAAAGAGGACGGTCATACTATGTAGACCACAATTCTAGAACAACCACGTGGGCCAAGCCCACCATGCAGGTACTCTGCACCGTTAGCTTGTCTTCTTACAGCTTCCCGGGTGAGCTCGGACTGCACACTTGGTGTCTTGTGTTTGTTCTGCCGTCTCCTGTGGACTCCAGTGTGTGTTATTACATGAGGCAAATCTAATCGGGGCTAGGAGAGCAAAATCATAATCTAGTCCATTGCATGATTACTACTTTCAGTGACTGCTGTTTCATTTGGTGTGTGTGTGTGTGTGTGTGTGTGTGTGTGTGTGTGTGTGAATTTGAGAGTGCATGCGTGTGTGGAAGACTAAAGGACATCATGTCTGTTCCTCAGTTGCTCTCCCTTTTATTTGCTTAGTCAGGCTCTTTTGCTGAATTTGGAGTTTTTTCTGGGATCTGGTCTCCATCTCTTAGACACTGGGATTGTAAACTGGCCACCATGTCCTCCTGGCTTTTTTGTGTGCTGTGGATCTGAACTCTGGTCTGCACAGCCATGGCAAGCACTTTATCCACAGAGCTGTCTCCCTGAGCCCTTGTTCAGATAGTTTGTTAATGGGTGGTCTTGGTGATGGGTGTCCCTGAAATCTGTAATTATGGACTGGGGCCTTGGCTCGGTGGTTCAGAGCACTGACTGCTCTTGCAGAGGACACAGGTTCAGTACTTAGCACCTACATGGAGGCTCACAACCATCCGTAACTCCAGTTCTAAGGACTCGATGCCTTCTTTTCACCTCCATGGACACTACATGCACTTGGTGCATAGCCATACATGCAAGCAAAACCCACATATAAAATTAAATAAATAAACTTTTAAAAGAAGTTTATAATTGTGACCTCTTCCATGTAGCAGACTGATAATATGTTTATTCTATCTTATTTCCATTTCTTTCACTGAAATTTTTTTCTTTTTTTATGGAAGATGGACACCACAGTGCGTGTGTGTGTGTGTGTGTGTGTGTGTGTGTGTGTGTGTGTGTCAGTCAGAGGACAACTTAAAGGACTTGATCATCTTCTGCCATGTGGGTTCTGGGGAATCAAACTCAGGTCCTCGGGCTTGGCAGCAAGCATCTTTGCCCATGCAGCTGTCTCACTGGCCCTTTAGCCACTCCTGCGCTGGGGGATGTTCCCACTGAGTCTTCGTGGGCAGTGCTTGCTGTCTGCTCTGTGCCCTCCTTGCCCCGTAGCTCCTGGGGCAGTCATTTTACTGTGTGTTAATTAGCTGAGAAAATTATTATAAATTAGTTGGCTAAATTATTATAAGAAACAGTTTTATAGAAAAGTTTATTTAAAATTCAGGGAAAAAATTAAAATGTTCGTGATTTGGGCCTGGAGAGATGGCTCAGTGATTTCAGAGCACTTGCTGCTCTTCCAGAGGACTCAAGTTCACTTCCAGCATCCACATCAGGGCCTCGCCACCGTCTGTAACTCCAGCAAGGGAATTCGTCTCTGCACTCATACACACACACCCTCCACATAATAGAAACAAGTCTTTAAGAGTTAGTCTCAAGCCGGGCGGTGGTGGCGCACGCCTTTAATCCCAGCACTTGGGAGGCAGAGGCAGGCAGATCTCTGTGAGTTCGAGACCAGCCTGGTCTACAAGAGCTAGTTCCAGGACAGGCTCCAAAACCACAGAGAAACCCTGTCTCGAAAAACCAAAAAAAAAAAAAAAAAAAAAGAGTTAGTCTCATATGTTTAGGACTGGTTTGCAAGTGTGCAAACAGTTCTCTTCACAGGTTAAACTAGCTATTTTAATTATATTCTTTATTTGTGAGGTCTCTATAGTTTTACAGTATGACTTAATTAATGTGCCAGGCCACAGCGGAGACCAGTCAGCTGCCATCGAGCCAGAGTTCAGCAGGCCTTCTGCCACAGCTCCCCCCCAGTGACCCAACTCAGCAGGCGAGTTCAGCGTCTGACACTGGGCAAGGATTCCTTCCTAAAGGTTGGGAAGTCCGGCATGCACCAAATGGGAGGCCTTTCTTTATTGACCACAACACCAAAACCACAACCTGGGTAACTTCCACGCGCCTCAGTTTACATCATAGCAAGAGCTGCTTCTGCATCTGTCACATGTGTTAGTGTAGTGTGCTTTCCTAATAGTCCATGAGTTACCTGTAAAAGTCTCGGGTGGGTTTGTTTTTCTGTTTGAAGTAGGGTCTTATGTAGTCCAGGCTGCCCTAGAACTTGCACTCCTGATCTTCCTGCCTCCACCTCCGAAGTCCCACGCACGAGGCTCTGTAGGAATCCCATTCTTCTGGGAATGGAAGCCAGGGCTTTGTGCACGGAGGTGACTGCTCTCCAACTGAGCCACTTGCCCAGCTCCAGGGAGCCTTAGTAATATTATTTGTGCTCAGCGTACATTTATGCTTCTTTTTGAGATTATATTGGATTTTATGAAGGTGTTCGTATTTATTTTCTGTTTCTAGTTTCTGGCTCATTAGTCACAAAGGCTTAGAAAGATTTTTAGTAATAGGTTTTTACCTTTATATTTTCTATTTTCAAAGCACTTTCAAGTTTCTATCTCATTTATTAATATTATCAGAAAGACTCCATGAAGGACAGATATTTTGTTGTTGTCGTTGGTAGAATTTAGTTACATTCTTTTATGTATGACTGCCTACATATATGCTTGTGCATCCATGGAGGCCAGAAGAGTGTCAGATTCCCTGGAATCTGAGTCACAGATGGTTGTGGGCCACAGGTTAAACTAGCTATTTTAATTATATTCTTTATTTGTGAGGTCTCTATAGTTTTACAGTATGACTTAATTAATTAATGTGCCAGGCCACAGCAGAGACCAAACCCTGGTCCTCTGAAGGAACAGCCAGTGCTTTTAATTCAGAGCCCTCATCAGTTTAGTTTAAGCCTTAAAATTGTTTGGTATTTAGCTCATCACCAACAAGAAGTTCTCCAAACATAACACTTGAGACTTAGTAACTATTTCAAAAGGTCAGCAAAGCTTAAACAAATTTAAAAGAGCTTGACTAATATAATAATATTGAAGTAATTATACATTCATTAATCCAAGTAAATTGAACTTTGTTCTCTTCTTTAAGATGTGAGTTTATCTTAGTTTCTTTTTTTAAGCTACCCTCTGATCTTTCAAAAAAAAAAAATAATAACCAGTACTCAAACAAATAACACAACATGTGGTCCTATTTACTTATTCATTTCTTTGTTTGATTATAGCCATGCATTTCTCTATCCTGTATGTGTACATGTATGTGTGTGGAGGTCAGAGGGTAACTTGCAGAGGTATTGAACACAGTTGTCAGGCCTGCTGAGTTATCTCACTGGCCCAGATGTGGTTCAGTGGGGTAAAGTGGTCTCAGTGCAAGACATCAGTGCTGATCCCCTGGGAAGTGACCTTATCTACCTCTCAATGGGACGACCTCACCACGCTATCTGCTAGGAGGAGAAGTAAGTCACAGGCGAAGGAATTAAGGCTAAGTGGGTAAGATGGCATGTGCCTGTAATCCTAGCACTCGTGAGACTGAAGTAGGAGGATCAGGGCTCCAGGGCCAGTCTGGCCTGTTTGAGTTCTGCCTCAGAAAGCCAAAAACATATAATACTTAATTTCATTATTTTTCCATTTTCATGTATACATGTGTGTGCGTGCATGTTTTGTGTGTGTGTGTGTCCACACATGTACTTGCTGCCTCTGTGCATGTATGTGTGAGAAACAGTGTGTGTGTGTGTGTTTGCATGTGTGTGTGTGTTTGCGTGTGCATGCGGAGGCCTGACTGATGCCAGAAATCATCCTGCATTGCTCTTGTAATAACTAGGTGAGGCAGGCTCTCTCACTCAAGCCCACAGCTCGTCTGTGCCACTGCTCTGCCTAGCAAGCTTGCCATGGGGATCCCGTCTCCATCCAAGGCTACAATTACAACAGGCCATGGTGCCTGTTGGGTTCAGGGGATCCAGACTCCGTTCCTCACTTTCTCTTGGCAAATGCTTTACCCACTGAGCTGTCTCTCCCATTCCAAAGAGAGTATTTTAAATATCTGTCAACTTTACAAAGCAATTATAACACAGTGGCTGTCGTTATTTTAAAGTACGTGTGTTATTTTATTTGTGACTTAACCAAATAAAGGATGACCCAAGATCGAAAATCCCTGCTCATCTGAAAGCAAAGACTCCAGTCGACTCATCTAATGACCTGGGACCTTTACCTGTAAGTTCTATTGCTGAGCTAACCTGATACCTTCAAATATGGGAGTTATTTAACTATAACTAACATTGTTATTAAACTATTGATTCTTTCTGCTAAAAATATGTGAAAGTTAAGCATATAACTAATGCTATTTTGGGGGGAATTTTTGTTTGTATTGGGGGGTTAGTTTTTCTTTTCTGGTTCTTTTTTTTTTTTTTTTAATAATCATCTAAGGTCTGGTGCTAAAATAAAATAATTGCAACAAATGTTTCATTACAGCCAGGATGGGAAGAGAGAACCCACACAGACGGACGAGTCTTCTATATAAACCACAGTACGTGCCTCGTGACTTCTCTATTGCAGTTCTTGTAGTGTTCGGTTGTAGACATGAGGAAGAGGAACATCTTTTCTCTTTTCCTTCCTAGATACAAAAAAGACACAGTGGGAAGATCCTCGGACCCAGAACGTGGCAACAACTGGACCAGTAAGTCCCCGGCATCCTGGTGCTCTAGGTCAAAGGTGGAACTCAAAGGAACAGCCTCTGCAGGCCTCCCCTCCCTCCTCACTGTGCCTGCTCTTCGCCGTTTTACTGCACACCACAAGCTTGGGCAGTGAGATTCAATCAGAATCTGGGGCAGTAAGCCGCTCAGCCTGGGTTGACACCTGCCCATCTAAAACAGTGCAAACCACAGAAGGGCCAGCCAGAGTCAGGATGAATGGTTTTTAGTCAGTCATTGCAAAGAGCCACTATTTAAGCCTTACTCATTTTTTATTTTTTTTTTTTTTTTTTTTTTTTTTTTTTTTTTGGTTTTTCGAGTCAGGGTTTCTCTGTGGTTTTGGAGCCTGTCCTGGAACTAGCTCTTGTAGACCAGGCTGGTCTCGAACTCACAGAGATCCGTCTACTTCTGCCTCCCGAGTGCTGGGATTAAAGGCGTGCGCCACCACTGCCCGGCCCTTACTCATATTTTATAGAAATATTACACTGTACCATAGTTACACTGCCCTTGAATCGGGTTAACTACAGAAAAATGACTTCTCTTCTACAGCTGCTCTTTCCATTTTTGTCCTTCAGACTTGGTTAATTCACAAAAATTAATAAAAATGAACGTAAGGTTTTTTAGATTAGTGTCTAGTATCTCGGCATGTAGTCTTTTTAAAATAATGAGAAAGAAAGGGAACGCCTGGAAGTCCAAGGGAAAACGCATTTTCCAATTGGTTCCTTTAATAGAGAAAGCACTTTCAAAGCCTTTTCAGAAGTAGAAAATTTTGTTTCTAAATTGTCTCTACCTGAAAGACTTATTTTGCCTCTGGCATGTCGCATTTTAAGAATACTGAATGAGCTGGAAATGGTGGCACACGCCTTTAATCTCAGAACTTGGGAGGCGGAGGCAGACAGATCTCTGAGCCGCGGCCAACCTGGTCTACATAGAGTTTGAGGCCAGCCATTGATACATAGAGCGACTCTTTAAAAAAAAAAATGCATGAAGAAAATTGCCACAATGACTGCTGACTTCAATTTTATCTTAAAGAGAATTTAAAATAATAAGCCTTCTGTGTGCTCTTCTTCAAATGAAACTTCTAATTTCCAAATAGTTTTTCCTTTGTATATATTCATAAGTTATCCAGAGGGAGCTAATAACACTGTTCCAGTATAAAACCAATCTAAACTTTGTTTTTCCAAATGTTTCAACTAAAGGCAGTGCCCTACTCCAGGGATTACAAAAGGAAGTACGAGTTCTTCCGAAGAAAGCTGAAGAAGCAGGTTAGTGACATTGTAACTGCCACTCAACTGGGGGTAGGGGTGTTCTGGGGGAGGAGAGGGAGCCATCTTCTGGGGAAAGAGAGGGGGCTCTTCTCTAAGGAGGGGGGGTGAGGGGAGAAGTATGGTATGCAGTCACAGATACAGTTGCTGTTCTCTAAGGAGGGGGGACTACACGGGACACACAGTCACAGATACAGTTGCTATGTTTGAGGACTCAGCGGTCACTTTCTCATAGGGAAAAGGGGTGTATGTGTTTTAAAGAGTTTTAAATTATTTTTTTGAAGATTGATTTATTCTGTATCTGTGAGTGTTTTGCCTATATACATGCATGCACGCCACATATGTGCCTGATCTGGTGCCTATTTCCTTTAAAAAAAAAATTATGTGCATTGGTGTTTTCCTTGCCTGTAAGTCTATATGAGGGTATCAGATCTTGGAGTTGTAGACAGTTGTGAGCTGCTGTGTGGGTCCTGGGAATTGAACCTGAGTCCTCTGGAAGAATAGTGAGTGAGTGCTCTTAACCTCTGAGCCACCTCTTCAGTCATATCTCATGATTTTCAAAGATTATTATTTTAAAGACTGGATATGGTGGTGCAAAGTCTTTCATCTTAGCACCCAGGAAGCAGAGGCAGGCAGATCTCTGAATTCAAGGCCAGCCTGGTCTATAGAGAGAGTTCCAGAGTGGCTAAGTGTACATAGTGAGACTTTGTCTCAAAAAAAAACAAAACAACAAATTAAGTTTTTAATTGTGGGGGGTCCGGAGGTGACCTGAGACATCAGATTCCCCCAGGATGGATAAAAATTAACAGTGAACAGAGGTGACAATGGTGGTATTGCTACTTATTTTCTTATGTTTGTCGGCTGCGTTCATTACACTTTTTTCCCCATTATCAGACTTCAATTATGTTTACAATTTAACCCATCTGCCCATCCTTTGGTGTAATATTTTAAATCCCTTCCTTATGTGCTGGTACCCTCTTCCTTTTCCTGCAGTTCAGGAGCATGGCTACTAGGTGGCAATGTTGTGTTGTACTTTCTAGGGTTCCAAGCTGGTGACCCTCAAGTGATTCAAAATGGTGGGTTGGATACCAGAGTTTTTCACAAATTTAACAAAAATTTTTATGTTATGTTATGTTTTCCAACAGAATTTTTAAAATAGAAAAGGACTTTTAAATTCTCCAGAACTTTGGTGATATACTTAAACAATAGCTTTGTGTTAATTTGTGTTTAATTATTTTAAAAATCGTTTTGTATTTTAAGTGTTCTGATTTTAAAGCATTTGACAGGAAAGGTGGTATATAGTCCAGTTGTTAAAGTGCTTGCTGGGCACTCAGGAGGCAGTGGCAGTTCAAGGCTGGCCTGGTCTATATAGAGAGTTCCAAGATAGTTAGAACTATACAGAGAATCTGTATCTCAAAAAAAAAAAAACCCAAAATATCCTTAAAAGATGGGAACTTGCCTGGTGGTGCACATCTTTAATCCTAGGACCTAGGAGGCCGAAACAGGCAGGTCTCTGTGATTTTGAAACCAGCCTGGTCTAGATAGAGACTTCCAGGCCAGGCAGGGCTACATAGTAAGAATGAGTCTCAAAAGGAAAAACACAAACAATAAATAAGGTGGAGCGCAGTGAGGAAGGCATCGAATACTGACTTCAGCTGCACATGCACGTACACAATACTGCACCGTCCTTGAGGACGTACATCTGACACCCCAATTTTAGTTCTTGTTTCCCATCCCTAGCCCAACTATGGGGCCTGTCCCAGAACAGGGTACTCACTTGCACCAGTTCCCTGGTAATTAGTCTTTTTTTTTAACTAATTTTTTATTTTTATTTAATGTGCATTGGTGTTTTGCCTGTATGTGTATCTGTGTGAGGGTGTTAGATCTTGGAGTTGCACACAGGTGTGAGCTGCCATGTGGGTGTTAGGAATTGAACCCAGGCCCTCTGGATGAGCAGCTGTGTTCATAACCACTAAGCCATCTCTCCAGGCCCCTGGTATTAGTCTTTAAACACCACTTTTCTCCAGTCCTAACACTGTTTAACTTGCACGAGCAGCAGGAGAGACCGGTGCGGTGCCTATGTGGCTTCTGTGAGCTGTTTCTATTAAGTTTCTGTTTTCCCTAAATACACTAGCAGGGTGATGTATTCTCCTAAGCGCTTGTCTGTCTTTCTCTGAGCTCACAGAGTACTGAGAATGTACCCACTGGACAGTTGTGCACTCAGGGATAAAACACTCAGATACATTATAGTATTTACAGTGGGAGCTGAGGCATAGTTACCTGCACGTGTCTCTGAAGCACAGGACGTACGAGAGATGAAGGAGCTGAGTGTTCCTACAGGAAGAGAGAGGCTGAAAAGCTAGACTTTCCTCTTCTGTTGTCTGCAGTTTCTTCCTGTTAAAGCAGAGATGGTAGTCTATCGTAGTGTTGTTGTGAAGAGTGGATGATTGAACCCATCACATGTAGAATCTGAGCCTAGGACGGTAGTAAGGACTGGGAGGTGGAGGAGCCGGCAGTAGGCCGGTGGCCAAGCAGTAGGTGGGTTGTTGGTGCAGTATGGTCAAACCTATAACAACATGGAATGCACTACTGGCAAAATACTTTCTAGGGTTTATTCTTACTGGCTGTAGCTTCTGTGGACATAAAAATCAGATGTAATTCGGGGAGAAAGCCTACATTCTGTCCCTGTAGAAAAATGTTAAGACCATACGGCTAGATGTGGGGGTGCACACCTTTAAGTCCAGGAGGAGGGTGCTGTTGAGTCGATCTTGAGTCCTAGGCTAGCCTGAACAAGTGCAGGACTAACCTGGGTAACAGGAATGGACCCTGTTTCTTGAGCAGGGAGGGTGGGGCTTTTCCTGACGGTTTTACTAAAGGAAACGGCTGTGGGCACAGAGCGGAGTGTGGTGAGCACACTGGGCTGACTTACACCATGGCTCTTTCTTCCTGGCTCTGCAGAATGACATTCCAAACAAATTTGAGATGAAACTCCGCCGCGCAAATGTTCTGGAGGATTCTTACCGGAGAATTATGGGTGTGAAGAGAGCCGACGTCCTCAAGGCTCGACTCTGGATTGAGTTCGATGGTGAAAAGGGACTTGATTATGGAGGAGTTGCTCGGGAATGGTTCTTCCTCATTTCAAAGGAAATGTTTAACCCTTATTACGGGCTGTTCGAGTATTCTGCTACGTAAGTTCCTTTTTATCAGGTCTCCTTGTGTTGCCCAGGCTAGCCTTGAGTTCGTGACCTTAGGCAATCAGCCTGCTTCACCTCCTGATTAGCTAATCCTATAGCCACGTGCCACCACACCTGGCATAAGTACTCTAAACAACTATGTAGAGAAGATGGGGGAAGTCACAATCTCCAAAATCAGGTTGATGTTAGAAAGTGATCCGTGTCACAGAGGGACTCTAACTGGTTTGTCAGAGATGACTTTTTACAATTGTGTTTAAATGTATATAACATAAAAATTACCATGTTAACTTTGTGTGTGTGTGTGCGTGTGTGTGTACACTGTGATTTGCACATGACTGGCAGGCCCTCCAGAGCTCCCACCCCAGCCCTCTGTAAGCATGCACATGGCTACTTGGCTGGCATTTTAGGTACACACTGAATCACTGAACTCTGTACCTTTCCCAGTCTCCTGAAATAAGTTTCCACCCATTAAATACCTGTCGCTGCACCTCCTGGCAGCCACCAGTCTGCTCTCTCTGACTACTATCATTACATTAGATACAGGGGACCATTCGATACAGCATTTGGCCTCATTATGCGATATTTCACTTAGTATATGTTAAGTGACATTTCCTTGGGAAATATGAGCAAACTCTGTTCACCCCAGATAGGAGGCCAAGAACAGACAAAGTTAGGCAAACCAATGAAATTATTTGGATTACTCTCAGAAGCAGGAGGGGAGTCTCCTGGCAGCAGGGATGACTCAAAGGCAGCTGGGTAACAGAAGGCCACCCTAGCTTGGGTGAAGACCCACAAAGGCTATGCCGCTGGAGCTCCCTGCATGACTTCAGGTAGTCCAGTTGGTTGGTGTTCTTCTCCCCACAGTTGTTGCTGCTTATCTAGCCCAGGAGAGGGCTTTGTGGATCTTGTAAGCTTTGATAACTTCCTGGGCCTTTCTTTGTTTTTCATTTCATTTAATGTGTATAGGTGCCTGCGTGTGTGACTATGCACCACATGCATGCAGTACCCTCACAGGCCAGAAGAGGGCGTCAGATCCCTAGAACTGGAGTTACAGGTGGTTGTGAGCTATCATGTGGGTTCTACAAGTACTCTTCATTGCTGAGCCATCTCCACAGCCCCACTTCCTGAGTCTTATGAGCCCTGCCCTCCTTCCAGAAGGAATATTTTAATTCAATTGAGAGGAAATTGTTGTGCAACAGCCTGTCTTCAGAGTCCAGCCGTGTTAATACCAAGCCATGTCTTTTGAACATAAATATGGATACATTTTGCCTATTCATTTGCCTGTCCTTTGGGGTTATTTCCATCTTTTGACAAAAGTGGAGATTTTTAAGACCATTATTAGATCCATTATTAGAGAAAAATAACAAAAGGGAAAATTTTCATAATCACTTGCCTAGGTAAATTATTTTTCTATGAAATAGCAAGAGGATCACAAATGTGGTTTGTCTTCACAGGGATAATTACACCCTCCAGATAAATCCAAACTCGGGCTTATGTAACGAAGATCACCTCTCGTACTTCAAGTTCATCGGTCGTGTGGCTGGGATGGCAGTTTACCATGGCAAGCTGCTGGATGGTTAGCATCGAGTAGCAAACTTTTCTGATGTGGGTTTTGTTGGTTTTTAATTGATATCCATCTTACATATATTTTGTTTCTTACAAGGCTTTTTCATCCGCCCCTTTTACAAGATGATGCTTCAGAAACTGATAACCCTGCATGACATGGAGTCCGTGGTAGGTCTTGCCCCGCGCGCATACTACAAGATGTACAGCTTAATAGGCTTGGCGGACTGGGGCTTGGGGGTGGTGGCTGTTCCAGTGCTGGGGTGGATTCAGGGCCATGCTGAGTTAGTGCTGTTCCACTAAGCTATTCACACAGCCCAGATACGTTGTTTTTAAAACAGAAATTAATAAATTTTAATGTTTCAAAATGCAAATGGGGACTGAGGAGATGGCCCAGTGGATAAGGGGCTTTGTTTACATCTTCTCTCCACATAGAAAGCTGACCATGGCTGTGTGTGTATCTGTAACCTCAGCACTGTGGTTTCTGAGATTTGCTGCCCACGAGCTCAGTTCCAGGGTCGGCCAGAGTCTCTGTCATTGGGGTACAGTGGAGAATGGCAGAGCAGGACGCTGGACACGTGTGCTCAGTGGACGCCTGCTCCACGCACACACATACACCGTCATTTACACACAGAAATGTAAACATGAGCATTTCCCAGCGTGCAGTCCAGTGGGAAGGCCTTTGTAGTGAGTGCTTGTGTATCGATTGCACCTTTTCTGCGATGGCTTTTTCCTAGCTCAGACCTGTGTCTGCCACACACTGACTTTATCCCTGTGCCTGTGCCCATCAGTACATCTTAGATTTCTCATGCACTGCAAATATTAGTTACACCTTCTGCTGAATTATTTCATATTTATCTCTCACATCTACATGTTTTTAGTTTCTGTGTGTGTTTAGGCACCCACATATAAAGAGTCAGTCCTGTGTTTCCATCGTGCGGATTCTAGGGCTTGAACTCTGCTCATCAGGCTTACCTAATGAGAACCATCTCCGTAGCCGGCTTGCTGCTAAATTTTTTAATTTATGTGTATTTATTTTTATTACATTTATTTATTTGGGGGAGGGGAGCATTGCTTGTACCATGAGATACCTGTGTAGGTCAAAGGAGAGTTTGCTTGTTCTGTTGTGGGCCCCAGCAATTGAAGTCAAGTCCTGCTTGGGGACAGTCATCTGTACCCACTGGGGCTTCTTGCCAGACTTCCACTAGTTCTTTACGCCGTACAATAGTTGTTTATCTTTTACATCAGATTTTGAGTTATAATTATTTGTGATGAATGGCAAAAGTTTAAAGCTGGCACTCCAAAGACAGGGTGTTGTGGTGGGCTCCTTTAAAAAACAGAAGCCGAAGAATCAAGTTTGTCTCTGCTGCTGGTGGCCCGTGCATTGTGGGTACACATGGGCTCCAATGTCAGTGCGTTAGCACTATGTCCATTGTTGTTCCTTCTTGATATATATATATAGTATGGTTTTATGCATATGAGTGTTTTACCTGCATGTGTGTATGTGTGTTATGTGCATGCCTGGTGACCTCAGTGGCAAGAAAAGGATGTTGGGTCCCCTGAAACTGGAGTAACAGATGGTTGTGAGCTGCAGTGTAGATACTAGAGATCAAAGCTCAGGCCTCTGCAAGCGTAGCCAGAGCTCTTAGCCACTGAAACACCTCTCCAGGTCCCAGCTGATTCTTTGTTGTGTTTTTTGTTGTTTGAGACGGTGCCTCATAGAGCATAGGCTGGCCTCAAACTCCTTATGTACCCAGCCAGGGGTGACTTCTGAGGCTCCCGCCTCTGTCTTCTGGGTGCTGGGGTCACGGTGTGTGCCACCACACCGGATTTGTGCTTTCCTAGGGATCAAACTCAGGATCAACTTTGCACATGCTAGGAAGTACTCCACCCCCTGAGCCCCAACTCCAGCATGATTCAATTCAAAACTTTTCTTTAGCGTGAGCCAGCAATGAACTAGACATTTCGAATACAGTCTCACAGTCCTAGGAGGGAGGTGTCTGGAAATCCAGGAAAATTAGATTTCTTTGGAAGATGTTTTACTTAGCCCTATGATTAGACAATAAAATCTCTACGACCGCTGCTTGCACACAGAGAAGTGGGCCCCGTGTTAGCAGCTGGCATTGTTTTCTCTTGTGCAGCTTAGCTCCATCCGTCCCTTGAAATGTGCTTAGATGTGAGTGGAAAAGATGTGTGAGTAGCACTTTATCTTTTCCCCAACTCGCTAGATCCTTGGTGCCGTGTGTGCATGTCTGTGCTCACTGGCTCGCGTGCGTGCGTGTGTGTGTGTGTGTGTGTGTGTGTGTGTGCATGCGTTTGCATATGGTGTGCACTTCTTGAGGGCAGAGGCCGATGTCAGTGTCTCTTTCCATTTTTCTCCACCTTATTTGTTTAGAGAGGGGCACTCACTCACTGAACCTGGAGCTCATTGATTGGCCAGGCCAGCTGACCGGTGAGCTCTTGGGACCCCCGTCTCTGCCTCCCTAGCCTGGGATCTCAGGTCTATGCCCTGTGCCCGGCTTTTCATATGGGTGCCAGGGGCCCAAACTCAGGTCCTTGAGCCTGTAAGCAAGCACTTTACTGACTGCCATGTTCAAGTAACTCTGTATACAGATTTTTTTTTTCAAAGTGCAACTTTTACATGTAGCTCTGTGGTAGAGCACTTGCCTAGGATGTACAAGGTCCTGAGTTCAATTCCCAGCACTGCAAAATTAGTTAATTAAAATATCATTTCCCTTCTAGGACAGTGAATATTACAGTTCACTGCGATGGATTCTTGAAAATGACCCGACAGAGCTGGACCTCAGGTTCATCATAGATGAGGAGCTTTTTGGACAGGTCTGTGGACTCTCAGCTAACACATCATCAAAGCCGGCGCTGTCCCCTAAGTGTAGGCGCCATTGCGCACAGAGACTTCTGCGCTCTGCTTTCTGTTTACTCTGGAAGCAACGGCTGCTCAGCCGGCATCTGTGCTTGCTTTGACGTTTGACTCATTCCATGTTTATTTTAGTAGGACTAATATTTAAGTTTTCCTAGTTTTTACCTTTTGGATAGATTTAAATTAAAGCGCCAGGCTTCTGGTATAACTCACATATACTTTTTTTCATTTTCCTCACTAAAACAACATATCCTGTTTAATTTAGACACATCAGCATGAACTGAAAACTGGTGGAACAGAGATCGTTGTCACCAATAAGAACAAGAAGGAGTACATTTAGTGAGTACTTCATTTATTTCCTACAAACAGTTCTGTGCGTCTTTGTTATTGTTTTGTTTGTTTGTTTTGAGATTTTCCTTAATTTGTTCCTTGTTCCCATGGCCAGAATCTCAGTTTTCTTAGAAAAAGGTATACCTCAGCCCTCTCTGTTTCTCTTCAGCTTTTGCCGTAGTCCAGCTAGTCTGTCTGTTCCTAACTGAAATAAACATGTCTTAAAATCGTTTCTTGGTTTGTGTGTGGAGAGAAAATGTTTTATTTGTTCTCTTTTAGCCTTGTAATACAATGGCGATTTGTGAACCGAATCCAGAAGCAAATGGCTGCTTTTAAAGAGGTACGCTTGGTCTTCCACTTGCTGCCCATAACTTTCAAGCCTTGGGCCCCCTTGTGTCTGAGACAGATAAGATGTGGTGGGCTCTGTAAAGCCATTCTCAGTATGTTTATACAGTTATGTGTTAGTTTAATTTTACGTTTTTAAAATGATGTGCACGTGCATGCCCGTGGAGACCAGTAAAGGGTCCCCTGGAGCTAGAGTTACCGGCAGCTGTGAGATGCCCGACATGATGCCAGGAGCCAGACTCAAGGCCCTCTGCGAGAAGAGTGTTTACTCTAGCCACTGAGCCATCGTTCCAGCCCCCTTGAGCATATATTTAAATTAACAAAATATTGCTGGGGTAGATAAATGGTTAAAATACAATCATTCTAAGCAGCAAACACTGAGAAGACTGTGGAGATGCCGAGCCATCAAAAGTGCCTGACATTCAAGTGCAAGGGCCAGAGTTCTGATGCCAGGACCCATGTAAACACTGGGTGTGTGCGGCAGCCCACCTGTAATTCAGCCTTGTTAGGTAGAAATGGGGGCCACCCCTCAAGACTCCCTGTTATGTTTTTAAGATGGTATGCACATACATTTATGTAGACATGTGCACACAATTGTAATATTTTAGAAGCAGACAAAATGAGACAGGATAGAAATACCAAGTGTTTATTAAACTGCTGCAAAGCTGACCTTGTTCAATCTGCAGCCGTGCAGATGGCATTATAGTGGAGGGCCAGTGGGGTATGAACTTTACATACTGTATGTACTTGGCTGTGAAAGGAAGAAGAGAGAGGTGGGGGTTTTGTTTTATTTTTTGTTTGTTTGGTGGTGGTGGTGGTGGTGGTTTTTCGAGACAGGGTTTCTCTCTGTAGCTGTGGAGCCTGTCCTGGAACTCACTCTGTAGACCAGGCTGGCCTTGAACTCACAGAGATCCGCCTGCCTCTGCCTCCCAAGTGCTGGGATTAAAGGCATGCAGAGAGGGGTGTTTTTAAGGCCAGTGTGGCTTGGACAGACTTTTGTGGGTGGAGGATAGTTAGGAGGGAGCTGAGAAAGCAGCAGAAGATGCTGAGGTCCGCAGAGGCCCTCCCTCCCTTTTCTGCAGTGGGCCAGGGTGGGGGTTGGGCTTTGTGTGTCTCAGTCTTCCTTCTCAGTACTGTGAAGAAGGAATGATGAGGGCTTGAGAAGTAATGGAATGTTTTAATGCAGACACTTTGAGAAATAAAGACAGAGAGTAGACTAGGGCCGTCCATTTTCTCACATTGGGACCACAGTGAAACGCTCGTATGTAGTGGCATCTGTAGACCTGAGAGTGCGCCCATGCTTCAAGATGCTCAGGCGCAGGAGCCAAGCCTGCTAACCTGCTCTACACTTTCCTTTCCTTCCAGGGATTTTTTGAGCTGATACCACAGGATCTCATCAAGATATTCGATGAAAATGAATTGGAGGTAAGAAGTATTTGTGTGTGGCTGGGAATGTAGTTCAGTGGCAAGAACTCCAGGCCTGAGTTCAGTCCTCAGCACCACAGGATGGGGTTGGGGATGAGAAAGAAGGCAGAGGAGTGGAAAGGGAAGGGGAGGCGAGGATACAGCTCAGTTGGTGGAGTGGTAGAGTTTATGGAGAGGAGGTGGGGAGGAAGGAGAGTGCTGCTGAGCATGCCTGAGGCCCTGGGTCCGCCCTCAGCACAGCCTAAGCAGGTGTGGTGATGCACACCTATTAGCCAGCTCTTGAGAGGTGGAATCAAGATCAATACTTCATTATTTTCCTCGGCTACGTTATAAGTTTGAAGCTAACCTGGGACTACGGGCGACCCTGTCTTTAAAAAGAGAACTGAAGGGCCAACAAGATGGCTCAGTGGAAAAAGCCTGACAGCCTGAGTAATCCCTGAGGGAGACCGACTCCCGCCAGCGTGCCTCTGACTCTCAGGCATGACATGGCACACACATGCCACACCCACATAACCAGCTAAATAAACAGATGGAATAAAAAGACTAGCAAAGAGAAATATTTTATGTTAAAATAGAGTTTTGGCTGGGCATAGTGGTGCACACCTTTAATCCTAGCACTTGGGGGAAGGCAGATCTCTGTGAGTTTGAGGCCAGTCTGATCTATCTAATGAGTTCCAGAACAGCCAGAGCTACATAATGTGTGATACCCTGTCTCAGAAAAACAAAAAAAACAGAGCTTTGTACCCCGTTTTTCCTGCTTGAAGTTCTGATTGTACATTTTGTCTGCAGCTTCTAATGTGTGGTCTGGGAGATGTGGATGTGAGCGACTGGAAGGAACACACAAAGTACAAAAATGGCTACAGTGTCAACCACCAGGTCATCCAGTGGTTCTGGAAGGTAATCTGAAACCTGCTTTTCGGTAGATTCAATTATACCTCTAGAATAACTTTCGGAGTGCATGGCACAGGGGTAACCCAGAAAAGCACACCAGCGATGTGTGATGTGCCTTTGAGTGTGGTTCCACCCTCCCAGATACTTAGACGTAAGTAGGGAAAGCATTCAGTAAAGGAGTCGAAATAGAAACATTAGCTTTCCACCACCATAATAATTGTAATATTGTAAGAACTTGTAAGAGCTTGTAATAACCCTCAACGTGGCTCCTTAAATCCTCTTACATGTCCTTGGCCACCCCTTCTCTTCAGACCCCTCTATCTTGGTCCTCTCTTTCCCTCTCCCCTCCTCTTCTTTCTCCTCCTCCTCTGATGGCCCAGTTCAGTCTACTGGCCTTGTTTAATCTACTACTTTCTCTCCCTGCTCTGGACTCTTCCAAATGTCTCTTGTCTGGCTGTGCTTTTCCTCATGTCTCCAATAAAATCCTCCTCAACCACCAAAAAAAAACAAAACTCGTACACATATGCCATTCTGTAATACCAACAAATATAATTGTTAAAGGTGTGTATGTGTGTGTGCGTGCGTGCGTGCTTGCGTGTGTGTGTGTGCACGCACATCACATGTATGTGCTGCCTACAGAAATCAGAAGAAGGCATCAAGATTCCCTTGAACTTCAGTTACAGACAGTTGTGAGCCAACATGTGGGTGCTGGGAACTGATTCCAGGTTGTGTACAAAAGCAGTAAGCATTTTTAACTACTGAGCCATCTCTCCGGCTCCAAGAGAAAAGTTTTGGAAACAAGTTTTTTGAGAATAAGAACAAAACCTTAGTGATTATTGATTTTCTGCATTCTGGCCGCTTTTTTCCGGGATAATTGTCTGCTGTTTCTTCTCTAAGAGAAGTCTTCTGTTTTTCAGGCCGTTTTAATGATGGATTCAGAAAAAAGAATCCGTTTGCTTCAGTTTGTTACTGGCACCTCCCGCGTGCCTATGAACGGATTTGCCGAACTCTATGGTAAGGATTCTGCATAGTTCTCTCAGAAATGCAGATACTGACTGTCATTTTCGTGGGTGGTAGGGTCTTCAAGCTTCCGCCATTTTCAAGATGTTTTGCTTAATTTTAAAAAATTTTAAGTTGAGGACTTGGAAAACAACTTGGTTGGTAAAGTGCATACCTGGCAAGCACTTGAGTCTGTCCCAGAACTAATGTTAAAAAGTTGGGCTTGGAGGCACACACTTGTGATCCCAGTCCTGGGGCAGAGGCAGTGGTCCCTGGAGTTCACTGGCTGGCCAGCTCAGACTGCTTGGCAAGATGCAAGATAAGAGACTGGGACCCAGAAGGAAGAAGTGGATGGCGCAGAGCAGCCCCTGGGGTTGTCCTCCAGTGCACACATGCAAATATGCACGCACGGAGAATTGAGTGAAGGATACACTGGGAACCGGTTGAGTTACCTTCCATTCTTGTGCACTGAGCTCTCTTCTCTCTGTGGTCCCAGAAATAGTAGTGCCTCTAGGGCCGTGGTTTTCCACTCTTAATAATGGGACCTCTTATTATAGTTCCTCGTGTTTTGGTGACCCTTGCATTACTATTTCATAACTGTAGTGTTGTTACTGTTAGGAATTGTAAACATCTGTGTTTTCTGATGGTCTTGGGTGACCCCTCCCCAAGAGTTTTGACCCACAGGTTGAGAACCGCTGCTCTAGGGTAAGACAGAGTTTAGCCGACATCTAAGCAATGAATAGCGGCCTCAGAGGATAAGGAAGTTAAATTATCCCTCTTGTCCAAAGATTAACTTCCTGCTATTTCAGCCACAGCCATCACTTCAAAAATAAGATATTTCGGGCCGGGCGGTGGTGGCGCACGCCTGTAATCCCAGCACTCGGGAGGCAGAGGCAGGTGGATCTCTGTGAGTTCGAGACCATCCTGGTCTACAAGAACTAGTTCCAGGACAGGCTCCAAAACCACAGAGAAACCTTGTCTCGAAAAAACCAAAAAAAAAAAAAAAAAAAAAATAAGATATTTCAATCAAGAGCTGAGGGGACAGCAAGGAAGTGGTAGCACACACATTTAATCCCAGCATTCGGGAGGCAAGAGGCAGGCAGAGCTCTGTGAGTTTGAGGCCAGGTCTACAGAGCAAGTTCCAGGATAGCCAGGGCTATACACAGAGAAACCCTGTCTCAAATAACAACAGATGAAAAAAGCAGTGATGGCAGTCTCAGGCCTTTGGTTACCCTAATTTGTTACATTGTTCTCTTTGCTCGTTGTTACTACTTTGTTAATTGTTAGTGTGAGATGTGTATATCTGTGGAACACAGCAAATATGGGGTTCAGTAGTACCCACTATTCCAGGCATCCACAGACTTGAAGCATTTTTTCTACAGATAAAGAGGAACTCAAAGGATTTCTTTGCAACTTGTTTTAAAAAGAGGTGGGGGCCAGGTTTTCCAAAGCTTTAGCTTTCTAAATCTTGGAATCTTATTTTTCCTTGTGTGGTTTGATGTGAACTGTGGGGTAGAGGCTGTCAGTAGGTTTTTCATTCTTGTGGGACATGGCAGGGCCCCAGAGAAGACCACACACAACTCCCTCTCTTTTAATTTTTCATGTTATTTTATGTGTAATAGTGTGTTCCCTTCATGTATGTCTGCGCATCACATGTTTGCCAGTTGTCCATGGAGGCCAGAAGGGAATGTCAGATCCCCAAGAGTTAGAGCTACCCAGTGTGGGTGCTGGGAACCAAATTCGGGTCCTCTGCAAGAGCAGTGTGGGCTCTTCACAGCTGAGCTCTCCCCGGCCCGGTACTAAAACGTTAAGCTGTGAATCTGGTTGTGGGGGTGAGGTCTGGAGTTATGAAACTTACTCTGAGAATATTCTCTCCCTGCCCCTGGCAGCTGCACGCACATTTGGAAGAGATTATGCGCTGTGAGAAGAATGGAAAGTCACAGATCAGGATGAGAGCCTCATTAGCTGGCGGTTGGGGTACTGAGGGCTGGAGAGAGCTAAGTGGGAACTCTGAAAGAAAAAGAAAGGCAGTTTCTAAAATGTCCATAACGAGAACAATTGTAGATCATGTAACAGGATCATGTGTACATAAAATGCTCGATGCCAGCGGTTCTCAACTTGTGGGTTTGATTTCTTTGGGGGTGGAATATCAGATATCCTGAATATCAGACATTTACATTATGATCATAACAGTAGCAAAATTACAGTTATGAAGAAGCAACAAAATAATTTTATGGCTGGGGGGTCACCACAGTATGAGGAACTGTATTAAAGGGCTGCAGCAGTAGGAAGGTTGAGAACCACGGCCCTATACGAGTGTGCACATGCTCAGAAAGATTCCTGTATCGGGTATGTGGGCTCACACTTGTAATCCAGTACTTGGGAATCTGAAGCACCAGGGTTGACAGGCGTTTAAAACCGGCATCAGCTATATTATGTGTCCAAGCCCAGCCTGGACTAAGAGTGAAACCAATAGACGAACAAAGAAACAGGGCCCCTGAAACTGCAATCAAAGCACTGGTCAGCTTAGATGGCCTTGGTTCAGCCCCCAGAATTGCCAAGGGTAAAGAGAGAATTCCCACCGTTCTTCCCTGACCTCCATACGCGCACCTTACTTAACACATGTACACTAAGATACACCAGAAAATGATAATGAGTAAATCTAATTTAAAGTGTTTTAAAGCTCAAGACTGAGACTGTGGCTAAGTAGTCAAGTGCTTTTATGGTATGTGTGAGACCTAAGTTTAATACTGGAAAACAACAAAAGAAAATAAACCACCCAGATGGGTGGTGGCGCGCGCCTTTAATCCCAGCACCCAGGAGGCAGAGGCAGGAGGATGTCTGTGAGTCAAGACCAGCCTGGTCTACAAGCATTAATTCCAGGACAAGGTCCAAAGTTACACAGAAACCCTGTCTCAAAAAAACCAAAACAAAAAAAAAAAAAACCACCCAAAAAGCCCTTTTCAAACTTATGAGCTAGGATATGAATGATTTATATTCTTCAGATCCATTTTATTCTGTTATTTTCAAGTTTTACAGTGATGTGATCAGAAAAGGGAAAAGAAAAAAAACTTTTCCATAGGAATCAGAAGCAGAAAGAGAGTCCTCACTTCCTCTGTGTACCTGTGAAGAAAATCCTAATTGGAGATGCATCTGGGTCAGGGTTAGCAGATGGCAGGTGTGCCATGGTGGGACAGAGGGGCATGGCACTCACAGGTCAGATGACGGGCTTCTGTGTGTGCAAGCTCTGCATATAGGAAAAGTGTTTCTGCAATGTTTAGGGTCTTGTGGGTAAATACATTAAACCACAGAAACCCGTGTTTCCCGTAGGCTCGAATGGACCACAGTCCTTCACAGTCGAACAGTGGGGCACCCCTGATAAGCTGCCAAGAGCGCATACCTGGTGAGTAGCTGTTTTATCCTTGATGGGCGGGGTTCCCTTCCCTCTTGGCCTAGGAGCACCCCTGCCAGGCCCTCTTGGGATGGGTGTGGGCCAGCCTTAGAGAAGAGGAAGAGACAAACACAAACCCAGAAACTCATGCTGCTTGAACTCAAAATCCAGGTAGCTAAGGACAGAGACCCCAACTGAACTGTTGGCTGTATATATTACTCCCTTTCCATGGGTGATGGCCTCTACCCCAAAACATGCTAGAACATTGCATCTTGCCAACACAGTCAAGGAACCCACTTACCTGGAGGGGTGGGGTTTGAGGATAAGACTGCACAGGGAGTCCGGTGAGCTCTCTGCCTGTTGTGACCTCTGTAACAATGATGGAACATATTCCTGACAAGTAGCGACGGTATGTCTCCTGCATCACTGTCAGTTCTAACCTGATCCTCTGTCCTTTCAGCTTTAATCGCCTGGACCTGCCACCCTATGAATCATTTGAAGAACTCTGGGATAAACTTCAGATGGCGATTGAAAACACTCAGGGCTTTGATGGGGTCGATTAGATTACTAGGAACAAGCTGTGGCGTCTTAAACACCACAGCTTTTAAGCAAAAGCAAAATTGCATCTTAACATTTTCCAGAGTACTTCTAAAAGATAGTCACTGGCTCTTCCCGGGAGACCAGAGGGCGGTTTATCCATGGTTTCAGCCACCACCATCCTGAAGTGTTCATTTGTCCCGTTACTTCGTCCTGTCGCTGGGGTTCACACGACAGGGCGTTTGAGTCCTGAGTGTCTGAATGCTGACCGCATCTCATCTTGCTAGGCACATCTTTCTGAAACTACTGAGATTCCAACTGTGAAATATCTGTAATGAGTATCTGGTGGGGAAAATTTGATGCTTTTTTGAGATGAAATTTGGACAAAGAAAGTCTTTACTATTGAGTAAACTGCGACAGTCTAGCCCTATTGTCGCTACATATCCTGTAGAACTTGCCTAGTGTACCTTCTTGCCTAGATCTTTGGAACAACTTTGGAAAATGTGTCACCTATGTTTTTAGTCACTTGAGTCACTTGCAAAAAAAAAAAGAAAAAAAGAAAAAAGGAAAAAAAAGTTCCCCTTCACTCGGGATGTATCTCGCGTTTGTTAGCATGCCGCTTAGTCCAGCGATTCAGAAGACGAGTGGAGCGAGCTTTTCTTTGCAATGTGTAGAGTGTTAGGCCTCCCTCTCGCCTGTGCATCCTCAAGGCTTATCACAGGCTACAGTTACTTTGTGTTAGTGTGTGTAGAATTCCTTCAGATAAAACAAGCTCCACAAAGCAGTGTTTCTAAGCATGCCGTGAAGAACCAAGTTACGTGTATGACTTGCCCTTACCAGCCTCTCTTCACGCTTGCAGTCACGTAGTACATACGTGTTTACGGAGTTCATTATGTTTACAGGTTAAGCGAATTTCTGTAGTTGCATTTTTATATTTTTAGTACCACATTAGTATAAAAGAATTTGTTTAAAATAACCAAAGAGTAGTTCAATGCATAATTTGTATAAATTTGTTACCAGGTTTCTTATGCTTTCTAAAAAATACTGTTTACTATGAAAATTATGTTTTATTAAAAGTCAAAACTCCTTGAGGCCGATGCTACAGGTGGAATCCCACCGAAACCACATGGAAGTAAGTCTAGGAAGAGAGCCATGCGTGAACCCGCACACGCAGACAGTGCCAGCTATGTACCGGTTCCTGGGGGAAAATTGTCAGCAGTGAGATCCAGTTCTGTCTTCATCCTCGAGGAACCTAGAGCTATGTTGATGACTTAGTAAACAGTGGAAAGGAAGGGTGAGCAGACCAAGGCAGAAGGAAAGGGAAGCGAGGTCCCACTCCACCTGCAGAGGGCATGTGTGCCAAGACTCCTTTTATTCATCCTGACATTGGTGTGATTATACAGAAAATGCCCATTATATATATATACCTATGAAAAAAACTAAGCCTGCTTTTCAATGTGGTATTATAAATTAATGTAAGCATATGTTATAAACTTTCTGAGATACATATAAATGCCCTGTGGGAGCTGTCAGAAATGTATGGGGCCATTGGCTTTAGCTTGTTGGCTTGACAAGTGCCTGTCAGCCCGTGGAAGAGATTTCGGTGAGAGTAGCAAAAACAGTTCCATAGGCCACATCATCACTTGGGTCAGGGAAAGTAACCCCAGGCCAGAGCATGCTTCCCAAGTGTCTTTCCTGAGTCAGCCGGGCATGAGCGCCTGTGCAGTCCTGATTTTATTATTGGCCATCTGTGAACCTGCACTGCCAGGCTCCAGTCTCTTCATCTGTCAGGTATGAATAGCTGTGCCCACCCTTTTGTCTTTTGAGGCTATAGTAAGTTCTGAAATGCTGAGAGATCAGGCTTTCCTGCCAACCACCATGGTCTGAGTCAGGCACCCAAGCTGCTCTCCTCCCAGTGATTTAGAGTAGGTGAGGACGAAGAACCCTGCTGATCCCCAGTGTGCTGGCATAGATACGGATTCACGCATGGACTGTAGCATCCAAGTTCGCTTCCTCTACAGTACAAAGTAACACTAATACTGGCTGGTGTCTTACCTGGAATGTCCCCATTGTATGGAACTAAGGGCGAAACTTCATGTGAAATAGAATTGTGCATGGTCATTGAGCCCCGCCTCTGAGAAGTCATCACAGCAGGGCTTAGAAAACACAAGCTGTCCTTTGTCAGGCCGCTGTCCTTGGGGGTGGTCCGGTGCCTTGACGTGAGTCTGGTGGCCCAGTGGTCTGGAGAGAGCACCACAGCCCTCAGGCCAGTTCACATGAAAATATCTGTGGCATTCTGCTGCCGGGGGGCTGTGGAGTCACTTTCACCACGAGGCGAAGGCTTTGTGCTTTTCTAGAAAAGCATTTTAGCCTTTGTTTTTCTCTAATTCTCCTCCCCCCAACAAATGAAACACAAAATTGCATTACAGATGCAAACCCAATGATAATTGTTTTAGCTTTTTATTTATAACGCCCAAGTTATTCCTAATATCAAGTTAAACACAATTGGTTTTGATGATAAGCTATTTGACATTGTTTTTAAATTCTTTCTTATATGGTAAATGTATATCCAGATTAATGTATCAAAATTTATTGCATAAACTATGAAATCATTTTCAAAATCTCAATTCCACAAATAAAGTTCTATTCTAATTTTAAAGACAAAGCTGTGGCTCGTTTTTTACCTGGAAATGTCTTCAGACTGGTTTGCTTAGGGGTGGCTTCAGGTTCTCAAGACAGACTTGACATGTGAACACCGCCTGCAGTTGCTGACCCTCTGATAGACAGCCTATCTCCGCTGTCCAGAGCTGCCCTCTGACCGCAGGCAGCCAAGTGTAGGAGGCAGTTTAGTTTAGGGCTCCCCATTTGGTTTAGGGGTATACACAGCTGCCTTTAATAATGAGCTCGGCAGCCTAGTTCCTTCTGCATGTACTGTGTGTGCAAACCACTCTCCAAAGGATGCCCCCAGCTACCCAAGGACCCCCTGGGAGCCTCACCTGCACCGGGCTGCACACTGAGTTCTCGCTTCTCTGAACGAAAGGGTAAGCTGTTCCTGGTAACAGATTTAGTCCATATCCTCATGTACACCCAACATGCTCAAGTGCAACGATTAGAAGGGCTGGCCCAGCTTGGGCTGGTTTGGGGGTGCACATGCAGTAAGGAAGGCAAAACTGTCTTCTAGTAAACTTTGGGGAGAATGTCCTATTTACCTTCTATGTCTATATATATTGGGTGTGCATATGATATGACTAAAGTCAGATGCATTATAGGATGGGATACCACAGTGAGAAAATGAATATATGACCTAATCTGTCAATCAAAGTAGGGACCCACCCAAACTACAGCTTTTAGTTGCCAGCCCCTCCTTCCTTTAGATCCAATTTTAAAAAAAGACCTCAGACTGAAGCCTGGGCCCTTGAATGTTCTGGCTCATATGGCCCCCTGTCAATCTTCACAGTACTGTCTTTGCTCATAAGAAAAAAAATCATTGAAAAGTATATATCAGACCTCACTTGAGCATGCTCCACCCCAATCACAGAAGCTCCTCAGTGCTTGGATTTCCTGGAACACTCACCTCCTATTTTTTTTCCATCACTTCTTTGGGCTCAGTGAGCTCAGCATTGGTATACACTAGTACCAGTAACCCAATTAACATTTATTTACATGATTTTTGCTAACATTTGGGCCAGTTAGGGACAAAGAAGGCTTTCGTGCATCTTTTTCTTTTTAAAAAAAAATTGTTTTTATTTCTGTAGAACACACCTGAGAGCAAGTGCCCTCAGAGACCAGAAGGGGCCATCAAATCCCTTGGCCCCGGAGTTACAGTTGGGAACTGCCAGGTGTAAGTGCTGAAAACAATCCAGGTCCTCTGCAAAAACGAGTGTTCCTGATAGTTACTGCTGGGGAGGAGGTGGTGTAGGCACGGATATGTTGACCATGCTCCAGGAAATAACCTCCCATCTCCAAAAAAAAGCTACTCTGTTGAAGTCAATAGTTTGTTAAAAAATTTTAAATGTAAATTTTATTTTAAAAAGGAAAACTATGGCTAGGTTTTAGTCTATATTATTTTGATTGTACTAGTTTTTTATTTTATTTAAATAACACTTTTTTTTCCATTTATTTTACATGAAACCGCAGTTTCCCCCTCCCTCCTGTCCTTCCACTCTTCCTCTGTCTCCACTCAGAAAGGGGCAGGACTCCCATGGGCTTGAGCAGAGTATGGGGCATCAAGTTCAAGCTGAACCAAGCTCCTCCCCGTGTCTGGGCAAGGTAATCCAGCATGGGGAACAGGTTCCCAAAATCCTACTAAACACCTGGGACAGGTCCTGACCTCACTGCTGGGAGCCTTAACAGAGAGACCAAGCTACACAACTGTCTCACACATGCAAAGGGCCTAGGTTGGTACCAGGGAGGATCCCTAACTGTTAGTCTAGAATCCATGAGCTCCCACAAGCTCAGGTCAGCTGATCCGAAATGGAGTTGGAGTAAACGGATGGTTGTGAGTTACTGTTTAGGTGCTGGGAAGCAAACTCGGGTCCTCTGGGAAAGCAGGCAGTGCTCTTAACCACTGAGCCATCTTTCCATTCCCTAGTTCTTTCAGATATATTGATAAGTGATAGTTGAAATCTTTTTTCACAACCTATTGCATTTTTGTTTTCCCAAGAAGCAGGCAGGAATTTTTTCCTGTCAGCTGTACCTGGTGAAGAAGCTGGCATTGATGATTAAATAACACATTACCATTGGTAATAACTGCATTTGTGAGGAAACCCTAACACAAAGTAGTAAATGGAAGAAAAGACAGACACAACCGGACAGCTTACCCAGGTGTATTGCACTTCTTTTACACAAGCTGCTGCAAACTTAGCATCAAAGACCAGACCTGCCCTGATCTCAGCTCTATAGTTCAGAAGTCTTCATGGATTCTGCTGGCATCAAAACCCAGGTGTCAGGTAGCCAGGCTTTTCCTTCTCCAGGATCCCTCTAGGGTCTTTGAGTCTGGATTCCCTCTTTTGTGGTGGCAGTTAGCTGGGGGAGGGACTCTCATCTGTGTCGCTCATCACTGGTCCGTCTCTGTTCGAGAAGAGGATGCATCTCAAACTTCTAGTCTCTGCTTTGTTCTCTGCCACAAATGTGGAAAGTCCCCTCCCTCAGGGCTTGGCCAGATGTGGCCCACCTGGCTGGGCACTCGGCATTTCCAGATTAGCCAAGCCATCTGCATAGCATGGTCGGAAGTAAGACCCTTCATCGCAAACCATGGGTATGCCTGACTGCGACACTTTACTAGACTGTTCTTAGGAAAATCTGCCTCCCCACAATTAAAAAGAAAAAAAAGGAAGGGAAGGATTGAAGATTTTCCTTTAGAAATACAGAGATCGGACTGGAAAGATGGTGGGTCAGCCATTAGCTAGGCTCACAATCCAGTAATATGCAGTGTGCTAGCTAGTTTTATGTCAACTTGACACAAGCTAGAGTCATTGGAGAGGATGGAGCCTCAACTGAGAAAATGCCTCTATAAGATCCAACTGTAAACCGGGTGATGGCACACGCCTTCAATCCCAACACTCGGGAGTTCAAGACCAGCCTGATCTACAGAGTGAGTTCCAAGAGAGGCTCTAAAGCTACAGAGAAACCCTGTCTTGAAAAAATCAAAACCAAACAAATAAACAAAAAAATCAGGCTGTAGACAAGTCGGTAGAGCATTTTCTTAAATTAGTGAGTAATACATGCAGGCCCCATCCATTATAGGTAGGGAAACCCTTGACTTGTGGTCCTGGGGTCTGTAAGAAAGAAAACTGAACAAACCAATAAGCAGCACCCTCCCATCAGTCCCACCCCCAGGTCCCTGCCCTGCTTCAGTTCCTGCCCTGACTTCCTTTGATGATGAACAGTGATGAGAAAGAGTAAGCCAGATCAACCCTTTCTCTCCAAGTTACTTTTGATTATAGTGTTTTGTCCCAGTAAAAGAAACCCTAACCAGGGCATCCCATCCGCTGTCAACTCAAGGTTGCATGAACTGACTCGAACAGCAACAATTGGGACTCAACACTGCATGCTCAACTCACTCCTCCCAAGAAAGCCCCTGACGCTTGCTCTCAGTACCACGGAGGGTAAGTTGACCTGAGGTTCAACTTAACTCTCGGGTGCTTCCTTGTTATGTAGGGAAAGGAAAGGCCAGAGATGTCCCTTTTTTATTTGGAGATTGGTATTCTTTGCAGGATTGGTTGGTGGGTCCCAGTCAAAACAAGAGTCCAGAAAGGAGGAAAGCATGAGGGAGAAGGGCAGTGGTGGACTTCCAGCCCTGGCATGGCTGGACCATCCATGCAGCCAAGTGGCTCTGGAGCAGACATCTTCCTCCTAGTCCAGTTAGCCAGAGGCTAAATGCATGGCTGTAGGTACAGCAGCACCATCCAGTCCCTTAAGTTCAGTGGTAAATAATTATCAAGGTAAGTCATCTGTGTTCCTGGACATAGTTTCTTTTTAACAAGAATATTTTTAAACGTGTGTGTGTGTGTGTGTGTGTGTGTCTAGAGTCTGTGTATGTGCACCACCTGTGTGCAGTGCCCACAGAGGCCAGAAGAGGACATCAGATCTTGAACTGAAGTTACAGGTGGCTATGAGCTGTATTACATGGGTTCTGAGAGCCAAATCTGGGTCCTCTGCAAGAGCAGTCAGTGCTCTTAACTGCTGAGCCATCCCTCCAGTCCCCAAACAAGTACATTTTACACAGGAGAAAGTCAAGAATAGTCACTCAAACTACTAAGGACAGTAAGCACAGCAAACCACAGCTAATCTTCATTTAAACAAACAGGGTTTTCACTGATGATAGACTTGAAAGCATAGCCCAGATGAAGGACTTTGTTAATACTCTGTCCCTGGGCACCAGTCCAAGAGCAGCATAAATATTCTTCCCAGCTGATGACAGTGTGATATCTTATGTTTAGCCTCTGATGGAATAATCACATTCTTGGTGATGAATGGCTAACCACCCGCTGCGTTTGCTTCCTTAGTGTTGCTGTTGCTTGAAGTGCTTGCGATTTGGTGTTGCTGATATGTGGTTTTTAGAGCCAGGAGGATTCAGAGACATTGTCACCTCATCTGCCTCTTCAAAAGAATTGTGAGAAGAGAAAAAAAGAAAATTCTAGGAAGACAGTCACTACCAGGATTCTAGGATCGTCTATTGTTCACCAGGAGCTCTGTTTGCTTGCTTGTTGCATTGCTCTCTGGGGACAGTGTAGAAAGGAACGTGAGGATTAGTGTCAAAACCTCTAGTCAGAAAGCAGACATGAGGGTGCACATATGTAATCCCAGCACTGGGGAGGTGGATGCTGGAAGATCAGGAGTTCAAGCTCACCTTTAACTGATAAGGAGTTCTAGGGCAGCCTGAACTACATAAGACCCTGTCTCAAAACCAATAGAAAAAGACTTGTGATTAGTCATGTAGGCATTGCCAAGGTAGGGACCTTAGGGAGAAAAGAGAAATAACACAGGCTTGGGAAGGAAGCTTTACCGAGACCTGTGTGAGGGTCCCAAACTGCAGCCCTAACCCATGGGCGTATATGCGATATATAATTTTATATTTCCTAATAGCCACATTCAAGCAAGTGAATAATAGAATGGAAAGTCATTTGCAATGTTTATTGAAGCCACTGTATACTGTAT